TATGGCTTAATAAATGAATCGCCGGGCATGCAATGATAATTTTTTGCAGAAATAAATACATGCAATATGTAGCTATTCATGCAGGTAACAATAAATACATTCCATAAATGTGGCAATTTCCGAGATATTTAGTTTTCCTTGACGAAATATGTTAATTTCATATATCGAAAAAAGAAACTTTGTAAACTATTCATATTAAAAGTCCTGCAGATTCGCCGATCATTCCATCAATTTCCAAAAATTGAAGAGTTTTCAACACGTTCGCACGATAAAGTTGGTTATCAAATTTCTTTAATCAAACAATAGAAATTTAAACGGAGTAAACTTGACTGAGAATTCGAAAGAAATCATGCAAACATTAAGGGCAACAAATACTCTTTTACTCTTCTCATATGTTTGCAGAAATAAGATTTGGCTGAGGAAAATGCCTTTAGAAAGCCTTGCATGATTTATTTCAGTTCAATACACCTGAATTAAGCCTTAATTACATTTTCTATATAAACAGAGAAATACAGTGAATCGTTGAAAAGTGTCACGAGAAACACACAGTTTATATATCCTGTGAAAATCCCCAATGGTCTGCAACATCTCAAAAACTCGTATCGACAGTGAATTGATCCGAACTAGGAATGCGTTTCAAAACCAAAACAAAATTCTCTATCTAAAATAGCAACAAGCAAGCCATATCATATATCAAAAGTTTTTTTTCATCTTCTATTTTTTTTATCTGCCTTCTTCGTGCCTTAATGACGCGTGAGGCTGAGTAATTCTATTCAATATCTCTTTTGAAGGCATTGTCAAATTAATCAATCCATTATTTCCGCTTCTGATGGACTATCGACGTTTAAAAATACGCTTTTTCTGCATGTCGACTCTATTGATGCAATCTGAGAAACGCCATATCACCAAATATGATATTTTTTGAGTGGTCTTAGCTCCATTTAGGAGTATTTTGGGCACTTGAAAGTTACTATTAAGAAAATAGACTTTTCAAATTGATTGTCAAATTAAGCAAGTCGTACCATCTATCATGCCACAGCTTGAAAGCACTTTTACCACTATTTTTAACTCGATATCAGAAAATTTTCACCGATATGACGAAGAGGCATCCGAGTGTTTTAATTTGCGCGTCAGATCGCTATTTTGGGCTTTCGAATCGAGTAATTTCAAAGAAAATAATCCTTCCAAGGCGTTATGGCACATGTCAAATTAGCCAACTTGTTTAAAGATCATCTTCGAAAGACTTCATTGCTCGCTAACACTTCAAGCTTGTTGCTAGCGACGTTTTGTTTAGTGTAAATAGTTCCAATCATATTACGCCCATCTTAAAAATCAGCTTAGTTGTCTCGTTGGGGAAGTTTGTGCGAAAGAAATGTTTGAACAATTGTTGTATATTTCATTTCGTGGCGAAATAATACGACACCTACTTTGAAGGCCGGGAACAGCCAGGGACAAGGCCAGGCAATGATATAGCCATGATATCTCAGTAAAGCTATACCAATTTCATTGCCCGACTCACTTTTACAACGACAAGGTGTTTGGAATACATTCAAAATTACATTGGATTTACATTCGATATTTTGGAACATTTAATGATGAAATTGCCACTGAAAAGTCACAATGGGAAGTGTTCAATTAAAATATTGTATTGTATTATTGTATTGTAGAAGTACAGAACTTCATAAGTCAACAATTACTGAACCTAAGAGCGGAAATTAACTCTAATCTAAGAATCCTGACTGGTTTTTAATCAAGGTTTGACTAAGGTTATAATTGAATATATAAAGACGATTTTAGAGCGACTTAACCCGGCTGTCCGGTGGAGTAGCGGCTCCCTAGCTTTCTTACAACCCGCCCCAGGAAATATTTTGAAGGCATGAATTCATTTGATACAGACAGATGTAAATCGATCGATAATGATATCAGACTTTGTTAAGCAAATTAGAAAAAAATGCGCTGGAGATAAGGTCGACTTTGGGATTAATCTACATCAGTGAAGCAGTTTTGCGGACGGAAACTTCATCTTTCGAGTGTCCCACATGTATCTTATTCTCAGAAATGTTTCCGGACTGATAGATTACAACTGTATTATCACGATTCAAAAAGACCATAAGATTCATGCTCTTATACTTCAGCTGTGCGCTCGGAAACCACGCCCGGCGTTTTTTTCCCGAGTTAGTCCGGCTTACATCATATATTATATATTCAATCAAATCTACACCAAGCCAAAACTATTCAAACAACGGCGAGAGTATGCATGTCAAGGGAGTTGAAGAATCTCGAAATTGAAATTCCGTTTAAAAAAAGCAGCGAAAAGGAAGGATTTCACTGAAGGATGAAGATAAATTTGCGACCGATCAATCGTTTTTGTAACAGGATTGAAAAAAGTAGACCACAGCCTGCCTTTGACTGCTTTGTACGCGGTCATTTCCGCACGTATTTTGGATATCCCGAATTTTTTTCTCAAATTAACCTGACATCAGCGGTTAACACGATACTTTTTTTTAGTTCTCCGACAAATTTCAGCGTTCTGTAATTTTCACGTTGATATTCAACAGTTCAAGTGTGGTTTTTTCATTTAATGGACAGCCAACGGCAAAATTCAGCCCACCCGATCGATCTGGGCGATAGGTTATAATCTCACGGCTAAGACTATGAGAATTCGGCGAATGAAAATACCAGAATATCGTGTATTTATATTAGTTGAGAGCGAGTTACATGGCAACAATCGCTTTAGTAAAGTGAATTTGAGGCTTGCCCCGAGTAACGAAGCCGATGCACCGTTAAGACATTTAATCTCAAGGTCCAATTTCAAAAGTAGTAAACTCCAAGATTAAATTCGCGATTCGGTAATTTTAAGCAGTTTTGCCGGTAACATACGCAAAATGATAAAGACAATTTATCCAATTGCCAATTACTGAAACATTCGGCGAATTACAACCATCATAATCACAATGCAGGGTCACCAACACGGTTAATTATTGACAAACGTTGGATTGGTTCATCATAATAAGCAGACTTTGGGAAACTGAATTAAATTCGGTATGGATTTTGGCGTTGAAGTTTTCGGTATTCAGTACCCGAACTGATGCTCGGCGCACAGGTGTAGCGCGCGCAAAATGGTAATTACATAAAGGGGGTTATAAAGAACAACAAGACGTTTGTACAACGTCTTTGCCACTCATCAGACAACTCAAAGTGTCTATGCCAAAAGTCATCGGAAACTATTAAGCCATCGAATATATGTCGCCTTAGAATTCAGCGTAAACAACGTAATATGTACTTTGACTTCTTTCTAGATTCTTCCTTCTCGCCCCGATTTCGACCTAACTGTTGAGCGAGTCCGAAAACGCTTCGTATACACAAGACCACTGGCCACCCAGGATCGTAGCGCAAACTCACAGTTCACCGTCTGTTGTGAAAATAATCTCGTCTAATTAATTATTTATCACATATCGGGTGCTATTAAACGACTTTTCCGGTGTCAATCCTTACAACATGACTTGCAATGAGGCTGCCAACTTCACAAGGGAAGCGGTGCTTCAAGTTACAAATCACTACATGCCTTATGTGGCATTCAAGAGTTCACTGTTGTTCCTCAGCAGCAATGGCATGCAACTGTTACAAAGAGTTACTAACATAAATAGAATTCAATAACGACGAATTAGCCGTTTATCCTTCGCAAATATGCAAACAAAATGCACGATACATATCAATGCTAATTTACTTTTGCTTTTATTACGAGTGTTATTTGTTCCTAAGACAAAAGATAGAATGTGAAGGGAATTGTATTTGCGTTTTGAAGCTTATAACACCTACGTACATGTATATCAGCACAGCAGTATCGCTGGCCGACCATCTCGAAAGCACATATATTCACTCACAATACAAGAAAGCAATGTCGCAAAACTTAGAGGGGTTCTGCTGCGAGGATTTCCTGCACTTACCAACAAGAGTGCTGCAAAGTCACTCCTAACAAGAAATATTTTGTCTTCTGGTCACATGAGAAAGGCGCCGAAATGTAAACTAGTATGCGGACATTAAAATTGAACATAAAACAAACCAAAACATGCTATTAACACTCATAACACTAGCGAATTACATGTAAATTTTCTCCACTCAAACTCGTCTGCAAGACAAAAGATTTTAGTCGGGTGCATCGTTTCATTTGATATTCCCTTAAAGACTAATTTACCACAAGTTAGTCGCAAATCGATTGTGGCGAACGCCAAAATTCGATATTATTTTGGTTCGTTTACACCACAGTGCCGACCTAATGTTTGCATTTTCACATTTTAAAACGGTGTTGTGTCGAAATACAGGTCTTATGAAAGATTTATGAACCAGCTGAGGCCAAACTCGTCGAGTGGGACCGGTCAAATACTATAAATGTTAAATTTATGGACATTGCTTAAAAAATTCAGCGTTAAAAACGCGTGTTATTGCCGAACAATTTCAAAAGCGAAGGAAAGGAGCGAGTTACATAATTTCGCGTAATGCGCAAAACCCGACTAACGCAAATACTCTTCTTAATTCTTAAATAAAGATGGAAATTGATTAGGACAGCTAGATTGTGTTGATTTGATGAATTCCCGACAGCCGAAATATTAATTTTAGCTGTCCTAAGACAATGTAACCGAACAAGCTTGAAGTTGAAGTCATTAAGTGCACAAGAGATAAGATACTCGTATTATAGCGAAGAACAAAACCATCTTTCGTGCACTCAACCGTTTCGCATTTTGTCTGCGACATAATAAGATCCATATAATGTGTAATATCTTCTGTTGTATTAAAGTAAATAGAATGTTATAGGCCGTGGTTTCATTTGCTCAGCTTCATGGAATAACAAAGTCAAAACATACACGATTTGACCCATGTAGGAGGAGCCGCACAGCTTCCAAAGCACCCAGATAGGCGGAGAAATAATGTCAAACAATGTCTATTTTTAAGCGCGCCCAGACAATAATAAATGTTACTCCAGTTAACAACTCATCGCCTGTCAATCACGTTGTCGCGTTTTCAATAGTCAACTTGTTCAGGGCTTAATTCGATTGGTGCTATTGGCGAAAAACATGTCAGGAGATGTCAGGACGACCGCGACTCATGTTCGACGTGCTTGTGATTGTACAAGATATCACACAACTTCGCTAAACATCCGCTAAGAGAGCATTCTCGCCGGCTGGCTGAGTTGCGCCCTCGTAACTTCTTAGACAAGTAATATACAGACACGCGTCTGTGAAGCGTTGTTTTGGCCCGGCAGTGAGCAAGGGAAGTTTATAACAGTGTGTGTAGAACCCTCGGTCGACGGCGGCATTGCCAACACTCAAAGAGTAATCTTATAATTGATTTAAAAAGTGTGGTGTATTTGTGGGTTCTGTAATAACGAGTTCATCCGTGGAAAGATACAAAGTTTATTCGTACAATGGCTGGCATCACGGCGAGTTTTGGATTTCCGTACACTTCACAGGTATATAAATTTACACTTTGTTGTGACAAATTTCGGACAGATACGCTCAAGACTCCGGCACTCAGCGCGTAATTCGTTGTGCGCAACCTTGGTGGCTGCTAGGTGAATCATTACGCTTGTAGCAGTACAAACTCACTCGATGATTTTCTTGATAACACAATACCGCGGTGCGTGCATGATTTCAAATATATACAGAAGCTGGTGATGGCGCTCATTCGATGATTCCTTTCCTAATGTTCAAGGGACCGGCTATAACTAGGCTATAACTAGCGTAAGTGCGCTTCACGCCTTAACGTCGATTGTAAAGATATGTCGTTTTAACAAATGTGGTCTTTAGAATGTACCAATATTTCCTCGTGACGAGTTTCGCGCTAATGTTCGGGTAGACATGAAAGGTGATGCACTCTAACATACTGATACATTTAATTCGACATTGTTGACAAAACGGTGTAAGTTTTATGTGAAATTTCCACGAAACTGTCGTTTATCGCAAACGTGTTCTCGCGCATACCAAACGCCGCTAATCGCCATCTCTGATTATTTTCAACTATTTTAGTTTCTCATGCCTGGCCACCACAGTTGCTGCGAAGGCAACGCAGGCCAACTAACGCCACATTCCCCACATACACCAAGAGTCTGTACGTGTCAGCTGGAGCAGGTTTTACAAGCGCAGCAAAAGATGAGTGCTGTCCCTCTTGGCCTTCTTCCCCGCGTTACACCAAGCTACTCAACAGAACCCAATCTTATATTTGGGCCACGGGACTCGAGTGCAGTTGGCTATTCGCCCTTGGTAAGTTACCGATAAAGCTGAGAACTATATTTCGACTTGATTTGTGGTGGTAATATATATTGCTTCCAGCCGAAATTCTGCTAATTCTGGCCGGAAAAAACCTGTCTGTATTTATTTTACCAGTCGTTACTATGCGGCTATTAATAACAGAATATTGAATTTCCAGACTTATCCTAATGCGTGTATTATATAAAAAGTGTGGAACACCAAAGCATTTGAATTGACTAATATGTTCGATATACCACGACAAACTATATTTAATATTTCGTGTTGTGATATTGCTTTGAGCCACGGTGACGATGCATTTTGGATCGACTCTTAGGACAGGATATACTTAAGCTAAGTGGAGTTTCTCAGTTTCTTGAAAAGCTTGCTTCTTGCACCAACTTACGGCTAAACTTTATACGCTTCGGACCATTCCAAATTAGCATTCGTTTTCTCGTCACAGACATGATAAATATACAGTCAGAATATGTAACAAAACAGAATATTCATTCTGTAGACGGGGTGTCACGAGTTAACCGATTCACGTTGAGATCATTGTTCCTGTAGACTGATCATTATCATTTTCAGGCCCAACAAAATACCCAAATTTAATTGAATATGTTGCAATTTTGTTATTGTAAATTATTAAGTATATAAGTCACAGAATAGACTTGAATAACCTTAATACCCACACTTTTAAATCTTCATACCCAACAATGAAGACATTTCTTACATATATACTTGTCTGATTTGTCTATAACCTACTATTTTGGGAAGAAGTTTGCCTCTATATATTGTGGAAAAGATATTTAGCTATTCAAAAACGTATGTAAACGCGTTTGTTCACCAAACCAGGTCGAAAAGTTGCATAATATGTTAAGAAGTATCAGTAACTCGTATGGACTGACGCGACTCCATTATCTTTTCTCGAATCTTGAGAGAAATTATGATGTTTTTATAATACAACGCTAGCACCACCCTCAAGAAAGTACAAAGCAAAACACGTACGAAGGTTTAGGTTTAATAGAAATATTCACCAAGTATTCACTTCTCATTATTATTCACTGTAATTACCGATGAAAAATCTAGGCAAACATGGCCGCGAGTTCACTCAGTATAGATTCATATCGTGAAAACCACGGCTGCTTAATATTGCCTGAAGCAAAATTTCATACAAATATCCTATCGTGGTCATGCAGTCCTGTTTATATATTGTATATATACATGATAATTTATATTTTTACAACGTAACAATTGTTGTTATATCAATATGCATGATCTTCAAAGATAAAATTGGTTTCATGCATGTCATAATCTTGCATGACAAGCGATGGAAATATTAAAAATTCGCCTAATTGTTCTGCAATTGTGTCTGTAATGTAGGACGTTTTGGAAAATAAATTGCCTTGTCATTATCCGCGAAACGAATCGCTCAAATGAAATAAATGTAGCAATTATTCACTGCACATTGTCATTGTGTGAAAGTTCACAAACTGAAGAGTTCGTGTTGTACATTATAAACCCTCTTGTAAGCTATAGTAAGGTCTGCAAACTAGAGTCGCGTCGAAATTTATACAGCTTCCTACGGCTACAGTTATCAAATTGCTCCCGTACTAATTTTATATATTTTGTAGCAAAAAATGGGTGTAGACTGTTGTGTAAACGAGACTTCAATTTGTACTGATTAAATAAAAAAGAGGACTTCGAACCGGAATGTAAAAGTATTTTATAAAATACTACACATAGCCGCCGATAAGAGTCAGTCAGTTTTATCTTTCGTTTCCTCCCCCAAAAGTAGTTAAAATAATTTTTCACACGCGAATATAGAATATAGGAAAAACGAAAAAGCATGCAGGTTGTGTTTGACCTTCAAAGCCAAGCGTAGTTGTACTTCGTGTTTTCGTCCTTTGAAAAGTTTACATTGAGCGATGCTTTTTGTTCGAAGAATGTTCCGTTGTGTACAGACAGCATAGTTGTCAAGACAAATTTGTTCGCTACTCGATAAGCTTGTCAAAGTGAATTTATGGGAGCGCATGCATGATGTGTATTGTGCAGCTAGGCCACAAACCTGCCTTGGCATGTTCTTAGGAATACTTGTTCACAAACAAAAAAACTCGTGGCAATGATTATACGATCGCGTAAGTGCTGTACTTAATTCCTTGTGTGTACAAACGCGGGAAGGTTTGCTTTGGGCAGATGACTCAATACAAGCTCGGAGCGGAGTTGGGTTCCTCAAGTGCATAAGGAAGACAGCACTTTGGGGTGTACGACATGCCGCACAATGCCTTTTCACCCCCAGCTTTGAAGAGTTTTCTAGACGCGAGGGCAATTACCATATGATGATATGTGATTATAATACGTGTTGTTTTGTTTGACACAGCTGAGACAGGCGTGTGACGTTAAAGATCTGAATGCAGGCGCACTGAACTCAGCGTGGTTCGTAAACCCAGCAACGAGATACTCGGATCACCAGAATGGTTTCGAACGAAGCTACCTCGCCTGTCACGCCTATGGAGATAGGTATGCCTCTCTAAATTTTACATCCAGTTAAATGCATGTTTATTATCAGCCAGTGCTTAATATTTCGTCCAACGCGTTCGTCACCAAGGAATTAACTTAATTATCTTTGCAATGGACTGTCTGTGTTCAGTTAAATAAGTAAATACGTAAAAAGGCGTTAATTTCTTATTATTTCGCCATTGTAGTTTATTAAACGTCTAGGATCTACGAATTAATTTGCAAAGAAAAAAGCACAAAAACGCTTATGCAATATTACGTGTAAAAGGTTTAAACTATGCAAAGTCATATTTTGTGAAAATCATACCTGGCCCCCGAACTTCAAACGAAAAGGCTCAAATTGAAAAAAATACTCCTGAACTTAACATTTTCGTTTACGTCAAGACGAGATAAAACGATAATGCAATAAATTTGTTGTTTATCTTGGTTTGGCTGGGCATTATGTAAACCAAATGCAAGACAAAATATATTTATCTAAAAAAGAACCGCGCCAAAACACAATTAGAACTTAAAATGTTTCAATTAAATGCCAAATCGATGTTCACTGTTGTTTAGGTTTTAGTGCTTGTTATTACCCATTGTACAAAAACATCTAAAATCTTAGAAAAGAATATATTGAAAAAAATTTATCCTAATAATTTCGCAATCAGTAGAGTTGATTCAGATTAACCAGAGTTTACCATATTCTAAAACATTTTAAATATAAATGCTTTAAGAAAAATCGTAAGTAAAAGTTCACAGAAAATTGTTGGTTGGTATTCTGTGAATGTCTGTTTGGAAACACGGGAGAAGTCTTGATGACTAAATTAAATTTTGCTTTTCTTGAACTAGATTTTACCAAGTCACCAATTTTTTTAATAGCCTTAAACTTATCCCATATTTATATTTAAGTATAATTGCAAGGTGATTAAATGAAGCAAAATGGAATTCCATTAATTTTTTACTAATTTATTTTACTAAGTTCCTCTCTAAATAACTAAAGGCTGATTTGAAATCAAGACCAAAGCTAAGAGAGAGTTTCTCAAAATTATTAAACAAGTGTCAACACCAAAAGAAAACTGGTTGTTGAATTCTATAGCGTATAGGTCAATCTTGCCAACTCGGCATAATTGTTAGAAACAGTTTGCATTTCAAGACGTAGCCGTGCTTTGTAAAATATTACACGAAAGGAAATTCTGAGTAGGCCGAAACATACAGGGAAAAGCTGCCACTCAAATTAAAAAGTTGGTGTTATATGTGTTTACATACGTTTTCTCTATATATCTTTACCTCCATATCACCCTCTACAATCTGATTGAGAAATTATGTCAAAGCCATATGGAATCTCATATGTATAGGCCAAAGTAAAAACGGGCATTCAAAGGAATTCTTGATACAAGTTGATATATTTTCAAGATGGGAAGAAACGACTCCTATGGGTCGCCAGAACTTGATTGCGTCCGGATATGAGAAACATGAAATGAGACAGTTTGACGTCTCCGGTTTGAAAAGCTCTTAGAGAGTCAATGCCAGGCTTGAATATTTTGGCTGAGACACTGATTTATATGAGTTCGGTCTAAGATTGCCTGTAATTACGCTCGACGTATCAAGTGTTTAAGCGTTTGACGGAGAATTGAAGGTAAGCTCAGACAGAGCGCTTTGTTATCGTAAGAAGCAAATTGGTAAATGGAATTTTCTGATAAAAAATAAAGTGCCTTGTAAAAAACAAATCGTATTCTCTGAGCTCTTTCGTGTTATGTTGTTGATAAAATTTGACATTAAAATAGCTTGAATATGCGATAGTAATTAGTAACTGTACCAAGTCGAGAATTTTGAACCGTTTTTTACTCCTTTTGAAGAGTGCATGCTTGCCCACGTTTGGATCCGGCTAGCTTTCATTATGAAGAAAACAATGGTGTATTCTGAAATGATTTTTAGATCATGAAATTTACAATCAAACTGGTAGACGCGATCGAAACGATGATATAGATCAGTCCCATATCACATCATGTAGCTATAGCTCTGGTATACGATTTAGTGTGTTTGAAAAACGCTAGAACAAACCTTTCTGAAGTTTTACACAATTGTAATAATGCGTTTAAGCCACAGTCGCAAAGTCTCCAATCATAACAACTGTTTTATTCATTGAGACATATATGATGCAAAACAGCAATTAAAGAAGTATTTTTGGAAAGTTTTAAAAGAGTGCTTCACCACGGCAGACAATAAAGGGAACGTGGGGAGATAGATATACTCTGAAGCCATTAATCATAATATATCATTTACAGCCAAATCAATTCCGATCTAATCTCAGAATTTGTGTAAATGTTTTCGTATTTTGTCGCAATTTCCCTGGTAATTTCCCAGTCATAACAGCCGTTTTCCCGGTTCGTGGGCTTATGATGACTATGTACCAGCCTCAAATAGCGGAAATAGTGCACATCAGTTTACTAAAAATGCGCACATAAACAAGGAAGGTTTTGCCATTGACGTAGTATTGCTTAGATACCTACAAACATTTTTAAGTGTAAAATACTCGTGTCCTTAAGCGTACTCGAGTGTTGATTGGCGTTTCATGTGAGCCAGACAGATGTTATGTTTATAATGCGATGTTGTTATCATCAAGACTGAGCCCTTACGCGGATTGTGACCGTTTGCCAGTGCATGTCAAGACTAGCATTGTCATGTTTTCGATTCTGTTAGGGCTTTTACAGGTGCATGGTACAGCGTTTGACTGGTTAATGAGGAATAAAGGTCGATTTCGCCTGAAGTATGTACTTCAGAGCTGTCATTCCCCATACTATTTACACGGCAACTGCATATCGGTCTGGCGTTGACCAAAAGCAAGGCATATAGCACATAGTGTAGTACTTTACTGGTGTTAAGAATGCATGCATAATGACATGTAGAAACATGCTTTGAAAAAATCCATGCATCTCTGAATTCTAATTATGTCAGTCATATTTGCGTCAATGGCCAGGGGCATGAAGCTGCAAAGACCAGACATATCTGTCCCATTTTGCTGGGAATACAATTGTGTATAATAAATATTGCCTCTCGTTTTACCGATAAATAATTTTTGCCTTTGGGTGAGGGGTATAAAAGGATTACAAGCATGCGATGCCTCTATACGAGTACTCTGAGTCTTGAGATCATTTCTGCAAGGTATGCTTGATTGATTGAAGTTCCTATATTAGTGTTATCAAAAGCAGTGACTCTTTCAAAGTATAAGTCCAATATTCTATGCCCAACATCATGCACCTTGTGTGACGCAGTTAACCTTTCACACCATAGCGAATATCAACCATTTGGGGGATATTTCTTTCCACGTCTGTAAGCATAAGATCATGTAACAGCGATTCTTTATAATTTTGTAAGAGAACTTTTACCGGTAAACAGCTAGTTTGTTCTGAAAGACCGCTTTTCACATCACTATGACAATGGGTCATGTTCATTTTTTGTCCAAATTTTATTTCCGGTCATTTCAATTTTTCTCTATAACAGTTTACATTTATGGATTAAAAATTTATAGATTTTAACAAAAATGGGTGCTCTTTCAACATCACTTTGTGAAGTTTACATGAAATAAAATTAGTGTAAGAAAACTTTTACCTGTAAACAGCTAGTTTGTTCTGAAAGACTGCTTTTCACATCACTATGACAATGGGTCATGTTATTTTTTGTCCAAAGTTTTATTTCGGACCACTTCAATTGTTCTCAATAAGGGTTTAAGTTTTGTTCGTGGATTAAAAATTCATAGATTTTAACAAAGCTGGGTGCTCTTTCAAAATCTCTTTGTGAAGTTTACATGAAATAAAATTAGTCAAAAAGTGACTTAGATGCAAGTTTCATATTTGCATGGGTGCGTTTTAAAAGAATGTTCAGTCATGATTAATATTGGTTGATCATGTATCAGATTTCGTTATTCACAATTGTCATCTAAAATTCTTTATCAATGATAGCAAAATAATCAATTTGAACTTTGCTTTCTCTATTGAAAGGATTTATAGTGAGATTCACTGTCGATGGAACAATTTGATTTACTTATTGTAAAATTTTGATCTTAAGATACACTCTTAACACATCACAGTTTTTTTATCTCTTTGGAGATAAAATTGGCTGTGTTGGATCAGGTTTATTTTTTAAAATATTTATCTCGGTTTTTGCTTGAACTGGCAGTTAAAGAAAACCAGGCCACATTTTAAAAGTTACAACTTTCCATGAAATGCCAAGTATTATAATGACGCCTGCATGGACCCCACGTTAGAGATTTCAGACATCATTCGCACGTACTTTAAAAGCATAATTCTAAAGTGCGCATTCTTACAGGTGATCTAAAATAACCAGTGTTGATAATATCAGTCATGCAATGAATGGTATATTTGGCATCTTGGCTTTTGTCTGTGTTATTGTTCGATTTTAGTTAGGATCCCAAAAAACATGTTAAGACACGAATTGACATTAAAACAAGAGCATCTTCACGACTCGAATGCAAAGCTGGGCTAATGACCCTTGGCCTTTTGAGACCAAAGCAATAACATTGCTGCTACCTCAGAAATCCGTCTTTAAACGTTTCTCAAGATAAAACGTGCTCAGATAAGAAGTGCAGATAGTGTAGGTTGGATTACTTCGAAATAATCAACTTGTATGCCTAATGCCTTCATAATCAAAATATCTTCCCCCAGGGGGAATCTGTTGTGAATACAGTCAGATCCAATTTGGGAAAAATCCGAAAACAATATTCCACGACGGATTGCCCACCATTCAAATATTTTATCATCATTTCAGGGGAGATAGGAAACATTATGTTTTGTTCTGCATGTTCACCTTTAGGAAACATTACTAGGAACGTGTATCTTTTGTCCGGCTTTGAGAAACGGATAACAATAGATCAGATTATCCAGCCAGGGGGCAGTTGTTTAAAACTCCTGCATGACCACATTTTCGGTGTATCAGTAAATTGTAGTTCACTTCAAAATACACGATTTTGATTTGCAAAAAGGTTAAAAGGTAACCATTTTACACCACCGGTCCTTCGAGAGCATGACATGCACATCATGGCTTTGCTTATATTTGCTTTCCATTGAAACATTGATCCTTGCCCTCATTTCAGAAACTAAATAGCATGCACTTTCTTTTTTCAGATTTTCGCCAATCGATCTTAACTCCGGCGCGAGGCGTAAGAACGCGACACGAGAAACTACGAGCACACTCAAAGCCTGGCTCTACGAACATCGTAAGAACCCGTATCCGACGAAAGGCGAGAAAATCATGTTAGCAATTCTGACAAAAATGACACTGACCCAAGTCTCGACCTGGTTCGCTAACGCCAGGAGGCGGTTGAAGAAGGAAAACAAAATGACGTGGTCGCCCAGGAACAGGTGTGGAGAACGCAAGGATAGCGAGGGATATAGTGATGATGAAGAGGACGATGAGGGTATAGAATCCAAAACGGACGACCTCATTAAATCTGAGGAGAAAGACTCATTCAGGATGACGACGGTCATCAAATCTGCTGAAGGTAATATTTCACAAATGGAATCGAAATGTACTTTGTCATTGAATAGTTTTAACGGTTCTAAACTCTTCAACATGGAGGTCTAAGCTATTAAATGCAATCACCTTCAATTCAAGAAAACTTTAACATTCACAACTCTTCAAAAATATTCAAAAGCCTTAATATCTATAGGATCGGTTTATTTGAATTTCACGAGTATCGTATATTCTGAAAATATTGCTCCAAATTCCACCAGCAGAAAATTTTGCACAGCACAGAACAAAAGCATTCAACATGCATATAATATATTAATCCAAGGGGTCGATTTCTAAAAAGCAATTTTTTTAAAGTTTGCTGTAGAGAAAGCAACGCGTGCATGCGTTTTGAAACGGAATAAGAACACCTTCCATTTCGTAGCTTAAAATAGTTTCTAAGAATGTTGTCTTAAAAAAATCGGCTTAACCTTAATCTTTCGCGAGCAAATAAAATCACACAAGGTTTCAGACAGCGTTAATACTCGACGAAATTAATCCTATTGTGAAATCAACTCCGACATTGCAATGCGTCACCTTTTAATCTCGTCAAAGTAAATTACATTCCGATTGCTGTCCATAACACGCATGCTTATCGCGCGAAATATATTGTAAATATAGTTGGGGCGTGGGAAGTCTGGAAACCGTTGTATTTAATTTTCAGGCACCATCACATGCCCATTTTTAGCCACGTTGTTTGGCCAGAATTTCTTTATGCATTGCAGACTATTTATCAATTCGTCGAAGCGTATCGGATGTTACAAGTGTGCGCAAACAATTAAATATTTTAATGCGCTTATGCCAGACATTTTGAATTTTCATATTAAAACGACTTGGCTCGCTTAATCCCGTGGTTTTGACAATGCACCACGATGTTTTGAGATGACAGGACACAAAAGGGAACATTTGCGTCGTGTACATAGTAATTAATCACTTTAGTCGGTAATAATTTCCCCTTTACAAATCCTCAGACGCTGTGTTATGCGACGATTGCGTGCGCCAAGGATATTAACCAAACATTTGCAATGACATTCTTTGTAAAGTTGCGTGACGCGGCATCAACAATATATAGTAATAATTAGTTTGAGGTCACGCTATGTGTACGTTTTGCTGCTGAAATATTCGGGCTTTTATCATTATTGTCCATAACCCGCGCCTTCACAAACGATTACCCGTGCTTGTAGGCTTTATTAACGGTTCGAATGCTTTGCAATACTGCAAAAATGGTTATGTAACCAAACTAATAGACTAGTTATGTACAAACATTTTCGGTCGATCAAAAATAGGTTTAAACAACATTTTGTTCGATTAAAGAGCTCCACTTAGGGCCTGTTCATATGAGACGGGTCGTCTAAGCTCGCCAGTGCCGGGAATTCACTTCACATATCATTTTACTATATTTGTAAAATTGCATTCTTATGGAACCGGGCCAGCGCCGCTCTGGCGAGATCCCGCCTGAACGAAGCGAGATCTCGCCTTCAACAAGAACAGGCTCATAAAAAAACGTCAAGCGGGCCAGCCCGGCTGGCTTATATGAACCGATGAACGGGCCCTTGCTAACCAAAGTTGACAGTTTGAAGAGAATCAACTGTCAAGCATCGAGAATTAAAATTTTCTGTGTGTGAACTAATTGTCATTTTCGTTCGTAGTTTCAGAGGCGCCTAAGACACGGGATCCAAGCCCCGTATCAACTTCAACACAAGCTTCCAGCACAGCACAAAGCTACACGCACGAGCCAGACGTCTCATTTGCTAACGCAGCTGAACAGAGACTGATATGGTCTACAGGAAGGTCACCCGTCGCAATAGACAATAGTAGAATAAAACATACCTCGTCCATCGAGGATTCGCCCGTGAAGAGCTTAAGGAAATGGGTAGACGGTTGTTTTGACAACTCTAGAACGGGTACCGCACAAGCGCCGGATACGCCGCCCCAGACACCGCCATGCGAAACCGATCGACTCTCAGGTAAATAATTGAGAATACATACATGTCTTATTGTGCTAAAATATAGAGATAAACAACCAATGGGTGGTTTGCAATAGCCGAAATCTTTGTTAATTTTTCAAAACATGTGCACAAATAATTTTTTCATCGTTGCTGTTTATTTTAATACCCGCCCAATAATACGGCAGAGATGATAAGCATGCAGTTACAAAATAAACAAGGAAAAAGTAAAACAACGCAGTTTGTTCTCTTGAAAAGCAGAAGTAAACATTGTAGAATCAACCAAGATGGCGCCGAATTACTGATTATGACGTCATTTGCAAACCAAGAGTATTGCTAAGAGGACAGGTCTTTGGGCGGTTGTACAAAACCCTTTGCCACATTTTGGGTTTAAATATTAAACGATTCTGATTGGCCAATTCTCTCACTATAGTTAAGAATTATAACTACTTCTTTATACAACGGCTCTTGTTTGGCAATGATCGTAATGATCAAAGTATAAAAATATAATGAATTCTTAAAGAGAAACACGAGATAATTTTGTATATAATACTGATTCATCTTCACAACTAACCTCTTGCGTGCAACTAACGTATGTATGCCCACTATACATAACATTATACAACTGAATTGAAATCTAAGTTTCCAACTGAATTGAAGTCTAATTAACTGGTCATGTGATTAAGTAACAATCTGACCGATGCATACAAGCGAAATAACTAACATACTATGAGATGGTAACATGCTACCGAATGTAAGTAACTAATATGCTTGCTCGTAGCCAACTTACTTATAACTGAACTTAGTGACATGTGTATTTATATCTTGTCAACCAAATGATTAATCAAATTACTAATCAACTATCTGATCAACTAATTAGCTTGCTAGTCAACTTGCAAACTTGTTTCCAGAAAGAGATAAAGCAGGTTTATCATGCCAACAACGAATAATATTAGGACGTCTCGAGCAAACATAGGTATAGGCTGAGGATTACGGTTTGCGCAACTTTGCAACGATTTTTTCCTTTTTCAATTCAAAACAAATCGATTCGTGTGAATTTGTTGGTCCAGTGCTGGGGTTTGAGATAAATCTGATAAAAACTTCACCGAAATTTGTGTGGTGAGATTTTCTGTGCTAATGCGGGGCTTTTAAACAGATAATTCCCTCATTTCAACACTCGGGCCTCTAAGGTTTGATCCTTTTTCCCCAGTGAAAGTCCTTTTGTCTAAAATAAACAAAACGGAGGAAACGATTTGGCTCGGAAGAAAGACTTAATGCGGGATAATTTATGATATACGACCTACATCTGAGATTCTCCAGTACTGGTTAATGCTGTTGCGAATTCCATGCCCAGTAATATTGTCATGAATGTCCAAGCGCCATGTTATATTAAACACGGTCAGGGACCAAATTGAGCTACCAAAATTTTGTAAAGGGAATTTCCAGACCACCCCCCACCTCAAGCCCTTTAACAAAACCCCCGAGATTGATAATGAACAAACTCAGAACGCGGGCAAATCACTTGACCGTGTTTCTAGTGGGACGATTATAGCACACATACCGACTGATTCAGTTTTTCTTTATCTATTTTAGAGAGGCTAATGCAATCGATGGAACGGGAGAAACAGGAGACGATAAAATCACCAAGTCCTTCTCCGTCAAACGAAAGAAATGTGGTGTACAAGGAAAACACGCAAGACAGGTAGCTACAAAAACACGTTCTTTGCGCTGTGATCGGATTTTCCGCTTAACAAAAAAACATGCCGATCGTTCAATTAATATTGTCGTCCTGCATTGATGAAAACCCTTACAGCGCTCTGTGATCGGATCTCTGAGAGGCGCATAATCCTTTTTTTTATCAAACGAATGACAAAGGCATGGCTGAAATTTAAGAGCCTGCCAAACAAAGATATAGATAACTTATATACGCCAATTCAAAGATGCGAAATGTGTGTTAATCCAACAACAGTGGTATTTTGTCATCATGATGCCCACGCGAAGTTTATCTTGAGTAGTCAGGTTGTGGTTAAATAAACCAAACGCTGGCCAACAGCGGGTCGTAGAATTCCAAAAATCTACGAAATCCTTGAATCACAAAGATTAAAAAATGCTGGGTGTTTACAACTAAAGAGTGGTTGCATTAAAATATATTTCATGATTATTCATGATTGAAATAATTCATGATTTTACGAAGCTGTGTCTAGGCCTGCGCTTGTAAAAGGTCGTCTGAAATAACATGTTTATAAAGTTGAATGCATTTTTTCCAAAATCATTTCTGGTCGTATTTTCCAACGACTCTGGCGAACAACATACACACATACGTGAATAAATAATTTTTGTGTTGTTGCTTGATCAAGAGGCAGTGCTCTCACAACGAAATTGATGAATTCCCCATAAAATTTCTTAAATTTCCCCAGATTTCCGAAGAATTCCTTAGATACAAAATTACGTTGTAACATGAAGTATAGTTCTTGCGTAATTTACAAATTTCAGTAATTATTATTCATGCCATGTGGTGAGTTGTGACATGGGTGATTTTAATACGTTTTTCGAAGAAGGTGAAGACACCGAAGAATCCGAATCCGAGTCTGAATCAGTGTCCGTCGACAAAGGACCGCCCGAGAAAACAGCAAGAAGGGTATACGTGCAACAATTCAGACATCAATGGTTAGAGGAGCCAGAATTTAAAGATTGGTTGGTGCGTCCACGCCCTGGAGAAAATGCTTGCTTCTGCAAAGTGTGTAACAAGTCAGTATCGTGCAGGAAGACTGCTCTTCGACGGCACAGTCAATGTGCACAACACAAAAGGGCAATTTCTGAGATAACGGCAACAGGGCAAAAACAAGGAAACCTTGTTGAATGTTTACAACGTCAACAAGAAAGCACCACCTATAAAGAAACAACAGAGGCTCGAATGTGTTCCTTTATTGCACAGCATAACCTGCCTTTGAATTTGATAAATAGTTTGATGAGTTTGTTCAAGTCAATCGCACCTAAAAACGGGAAAGAAGTCGAGGTTCTCAACGGAATCCACTTGTCAGCCACCCGATGCACTAACATTATGAGGCAAGGTGTTGGACTATATTTTCAGAAGGAGCTAGTAGAAATTTTACGGAAATCTTACTTCAGCATAATTCCAGATGAAACCACAGACGTTTCTACCGAAAAACAATTAGGGATATGCGTGGTTTATTGTGAAGAACATGATTTGAATATTGTTACCAGATTTTTCGACATGGTACCTGTAGTAGACTCGACTGCAAACGGGCTCTATCAAGCAATCAAAGATGTTTTTAGTGAAAAAGCAATTCCAATGGAAAACATCATTGGATATTCCTCAGATACGACTAATGTCATGTTCGGCGAAAGGCATAGCGTCGTGTCCCTTTTAAAGCAGCAGTTTCCACATATTCTTACCGTCAAATGCAGTTGCCACTTGATCCACTTATGTTCATCATATGCCTGCCAAATGTTGTCTACATCGCTAGAAGATCTATGCAGAAATGTATACTCGCATTTTAGCAGATCAAGCATGAGACAAAAGGAATACGAACAGTTTCAAGATTTTGTAGAAGCTGAGCCCCACAAGTTGTTAGGATTATCCCAAACCAGATGGTTGTCCTTGGAATCATGTGTTTCACGGCTTCTAGAGCAATGGAATGCTCTACAACTCTACTTCATTTCCTTTGTTGCAGAGAAGAGAGACCCTTCGCATACCACAGAAAGTATTCTTCGTGCCCTTAACAACAAGTATCTAAAAGTCCAACTCGAGTTTTTGAGCGCTCAACTGCATAAATTAAACGAATTCAACACGATGTTTCAAACATCGGGTCCTGTCCTGCATCATCTCCATGGTGAAGTTTGCAGACTGCTAAGATCAATTTTGTCCGATTTCATAAAGTTAGATGTCGCCAGAAATTGTGATCCATTTACCGTCTCCATAGATGACCCGAATCTAATGGTGCCTGTCGATAAAGTGTAACCTTGGAATCAAGGCAACAGCGACACTATACGAGTTAATTGAAAATGATCCAGAAGCCGTACACCGTTGTCAAGATATCAGGAAAAACTGTTTAGCGTTCATGCTGGAACTCGTAAGACAAATAAGGCAACGTTTCAATCTGCAGGATCCTGCATACACCCTTCTCGAATTCCTAATACCGCAAAATGCTGTTAACTGTCACCCGCCTACACTACTGCGGCTGTTTAATACGTTTCCCGTACCTATCCAACGTTGCAGACAAAGAATTTGTTGATTCTGAATGGAGAAAGCAAGCCCTTGAAGAGTCAAACGTGATTGATCCTGATGAATCGTCATTGCAATTCTGGAAGCGAAGGCTTGAAGCGCATACTTTGGACGGAAGAAAGAAATATCCCAATTTGAAGAAAATAGTCAGCTGTATGATGTCGCTTCCTTCTTCTAATGCCGCAGTCGAGAGATTGTTTAGTGAACTAAAGCTTGTGAAATCATCCACTCGAAACTCTTTGAAAAGAGAAAGTCTCGTTGGTCTTCTACACACTAAAGATGGTCTTAATGCGCACTCGCTTTCAGCACATAATTTGAAGGTGAGTGGAAAGCTTTCCACTCATCTTAAAAACGTCAAGAGCAATGCAACTGATTCAGAATCCACTGAACTAATCCTGGAACAACTTTTGAAACCATAACTGATAACTCCATAAGCTGACGAAGCGCATTGCCTCGGATTGCTTAGATGTTTGATATTGTTTTTTTTTGTGACACAAACAAGCAAATAGGCATTTTACTTTAGGCTTTACCGTCACGCATGGATCACTTTTTGCATGTGATATATCTTTTTATTTTTTAAACAAAAATTACGAAATAACGAAAAGTATCTTTGCGTCAAATTTGCGAATAAATCATATAACATATATAATGTAATCAAAATAATCATATTTAACAAACAAAACAAGGCAAAAACAATTAAAACATGTGTTTCAACAACATTTAAAAAAATTCCCCAAAAATTTCCCCAAAAAAAGGAGTTCCCCAGAATGCTCCCCAAAAATCTACCAATTTCCCCTTTCTGGGGAAATTTCCCCAAAAGTGAGAGCACTGTCAAGAGGTTAACCTTTTGAACTGCTAAAGGGGTCTTCTATATTAGGGTAGTTAAAAGCAAATCTGTTTAACCAATGGCGCAACGAATTCAAAGTTCGCACCAAAATTATTAACACGGATGTGTGTTTTTTTTTACCTCAAAGGTGTCAGGAAGAAGAACCGAATGACGGTACAACAAATCGTGAAATCGACGCTGCTTTAGCGCTTACGACACTGTTTGGCTCGAGGAGTTAAGACGCATCCACCTATAAAACACGTACAAAAACAGAAAAAAAAAGGCGGCTGGTCCATCTTAAAAATACGCAAAGACTCGTCGAGATTAACTATAAAGCATACACGAGAATGCTTTGTTTATAGTATATACAGATAATACAGTCACATCCAAGATGATGACTTAACAGTTACAAATGTTTGAGAAAAAGTTACAAACTTTGATTAACCTTAGAGAAATACTATAATTAGAGTGCCGTTTTGGGGGTATTGCATGCATGCATGCCCTTACGAATTTTAAAGTATTTACTAAAGCATTTTAAGTTTCGAGTCTGTCAACTGCTTGTATGTTGCAGTGCAGTTAATATGTTTGATTTACACGTTTTGGAAATCACATCTTTCACATCACATCGGATTTCTTCGCATTCATACAAAGAAGTACCTAGTACCTAAGTATTGCATGGCATCCAGTAGACTATAGAAGTAGTTATGCAATTTAGACAAAGTTAGTAAAACATCCAGTAGACAAGTTTGATAAAATGTTAACGGGCTGTTCCAACCAATATTGTTGGACCATAACGAGGTCGAACATCATCCGAAAGTGGTCAACATTACCAAACATAGAATTCAAATAGGCTGAGATGTTGCATTCCACGTGCAAATTTGTCGTGAAAAATTGAGCGAAGTCAGACTTCCTTTTGAGTAAAGTGAAAATGAGAAATAATAAAAAACTTAGATAATAAAAAAACATAGAATGTCCAAGGATGAACAACGGGTTGCTGGTAATGTTGGCCAAGAATATTTTGATGCACGCTTCCACTTTACATTTTCGACTGCCGTTAAAGAAAAATTTTGCCAACGACAAAATGTTTCTACATTATATTGCCTCGGGAAGCCAGTTGCTACAAGTGGTTGCATGACTTCGCTTGACATTTTATTGACGTAGATAACAAAATAAGAACCTAATGCTAGGAGAAAATAGTTCATGAAATCAATTGTAGGTTCAGTCGTAGGTTTTAGCAAGAAATTTCTTTATCTATTACTGTAAATTGTACAATAACAAACATGGCGTCGTACGAGATCACGTGACACAGAAAAGAAAAACCAAATCACAACCTAAATGGTGTGCTAAAAGCACTTTAACATTAATTAAATTGTATTATTTTTTACATCGGACAAGAACTGCTCGAAGCAAAGATGAAATTAATATTAGAAGAAATTCGTATAGGTAATTGAATGAAATGTAGAAAGTACTAATATGCATACTAATATTGTGAAAAAAAAATGTGCATAAATTGAAATGAGTGGAGTTCTTCTGTTGTTTGGTATATGTGGGGCAGTGGGGCTTAACCTGTGGTGCTGGGTTAAAAAGGCATGATGCTCAAATTTAACACGACAAAAAGTCAAAAACAATCCTAACAAAGCAAATCTGAGTGGAGAGTAGAGATCACCCCCCTAATTTTTCGGGGACCTTTGGTATAAGGTATATTAAAAATAGATTTCGAGTATTAACATTCGTCCTTCGAACCTACGGTCCGCGAGAACGTACAGAAAAATATTTTTAACTAACGGTTTTGTTCGACAACCACTTCCCTCATATTCCCATCCTATCTTCCTCCCCCACACCCCTTGCCCTTCACCCGGCCCCTTCCTTTGCCTCCACGCCGCGTTCGTCAAATGGTCGTTTTGGGAGTCCAGAGATCACAAGTCTGTTTCATTTCATGCTTGTATCGAAGTTCACCGCAATATTAATACTTCTGTTGGAACGATGCAAACGAAAACTGACAAGATGATAATTCGTGTCTGAATGTCAGTGCATGACATTGTTTGTGTGTTGGACCTGGGTGGCCAATTCATCAATGACCTGGTCTGTCTTGCCCTCACTTATCTTGCTACAATTAGAAGATGACAAGGATTGTTGAAAGAAAGATTCGCGCTGTGCTTTGGAGCATCAAATTCAGCAATGATAAAAATATTTTGGTTTAATGAACAAGGAGGGGATATTCATCGCAGCCTACATCACGTACGATGGACAACGGTATATTCACCCGGATGTCGACAAAGTAAACAATACGAAATCCATTTTGTTTATTTTCTTAACCGCACTAGACGAGAAAATTCTAAGGTTTCTCACACAATTGTCGAAGATTTAGTCAAAGATTTTCTCAAGGATTATTCCCTTAGTGCCCTAAGGGTTGGTTCACAGCACGAAGGAAAACTGGATTACAGAAAAGTCGAGTCTGTCCAGACGCAGTCCTTAACCCACATGCAATGAAAAGTTATACTTGATTGTAACTGAAATGCTGCAATGTTATGGTATACAATAAAAAGTTTATGATTTAATAATCTGTAGTTGCAAGATGCCAAGATCTAATTCTGAACTGAATAGTAGCAACTCGAGTTGATGGGAATTAACTATTTTGCCTGGTATAAACAGTGGCTACATCAAAACTTGTTGCTATAGGCAAATATGCACAATTCTGTTTCTACCTCAAATTTGCTTTTTCACCAATGCATATTACACTTTTCAAATGAAACACAATCGCAAACTACTTACAAATCGAAGAAGATTGATTGTGTTTAAAAGCTTTCGAAATATTTTGGCCTACATTAAAGCTATACCTGTTAAGCTGCTAAGAATTCTTGCGCTAACCCATATTATTGCAATTGGTATTAATCCCGTGTATTAAATGATTACCACCTTACAGCACGTTGAATTTTTGTCACAAGTCATTGAGAGATGAAAGCATATTGCGACATTATTTATTTAGAGGATTAAAATCCTGTATTATCCCATCTAATGCATGTGTAACCCCACTACAAAAAACATTACCACAAGGCTGGCGATAAGCTTTCTTGCACAACAATCCCACCCAGCCAGACGTTGGAAAATAATGAAAAAAACGTAAATACAAAAGAAAGCTCAGCAGATTACAGCAATATAAGCTGTCGCTGACGTCAAACGAGCTAAAATAATAGTGGGTTGAGCGGATAAGTGCCATGTAGTCCAATTTACACATAAGTGGCAATGTCCCTTATTAAATTGCATTAGGCTCTGCCCTTACTTCTTACAACATACATTAAAGACTGCATTGTAATCACAAGGATAATGACAGATCCTAACTTAAACCGTGGGAGGGTATCCCGCCACGCTAATAGACTTGAAATTCTTTCCCGAATTATGAGGAGTATTAAGCTGTAGGTGTTTACATGAGGCTGTCTGCCTGATAAGGGAGACATATGTATATATGAAATTAATTACATCATATTGCCAAATATATCAACGTCAAATTCGACATTCCATTGTGGCTGTTCACTGCTAGCACCGAATATGTACAACTATGGTATGCTGACAAACTCCCTCGACTATTTTCACAGTTTGGGTTGATTTTCTTGCCCACTGTGGTGCATAGTATTGAGGTTTTTTACATTTGCAAGAGGGGCCGGATAAGTCAAAATTATACAATAGTCTTAAATTCATAGTAATCCTTAAATACATAGTTTCAAATATTGTTGGGTAATTTAGCTTGGTCGGTTGTTTAATGAGCCATGAATGTTTACTCTTGACACACAATTTGAATCGCAAAATTTCCAACAAAGCTTCGAACGAAAAAAGATCTGATTTAGTGATGTGAGGATGTGTAGATACTATTGAACGAGATTAGCTATAAAAATCAAGATTTTCATACAAAATAGAGCAGTATTAGAGCTGGAAACCCAAGGATTAGATGCCGTCCAACGGAATCGCAAACTTCATGAATTGAAACAGGATTTCAATAATTAAAGAATTGATGATGTAAAAGACGAAACATTGCAGAAATTTCATGCACGCTCCTGAAATTGTTCGCCACCAGAGTGTTTTAAAAACAATAATGTAAAAAAGATTAACCAAGTCCAGACGTAATTGAGACAAATCGATGAATTAGAACACGCGACATTTATAGCTCGGCAAAACTCCAACTCATTTCAAGATAGACTAGACGACCGATTAAAAATTCATTAAATATAAATGTTTTCTAAATTACGCGTATCTTATCTCGCGAGAGATTTCGCTTCCCCGCGACGCCGAACTGAAAATCTTTGTCGACACATGCATGCTACATGCAAAGCGAGTGCGCGTTGTTTGCAAGACGTGATTTTGTAGCCGTGGGACGAATGCTTACATTTGTATAACGAAACGTCTTTCGTCATGTTTTACTGTAATACCTTAATTCGGTGATATGGGGATAAAATAGCATCATAATTTGATAGAGCAAAGCAAAATAGCATGCACGAAGTTCTGAAAAATAACCTTGAAGCAGGGCGTAGCTCAGATTTGCATTTCTAAGAAGTGGCGATACAACAGGGGTGGATTTATGCGGTGGAATGGGGTGTATCCTTCTGTAAACTTTGGCCACCCAATTGTGCTATTTTTGTACTAAATTGTGACTAACAAGGTGCGCCTTCATATGACAGCATGATTCTCAAAAGTGCCAGATTTGCCGAGAATTTGGCACTCGTTCAGATCGGCTTTAACCACGCTGGATCCACTACTTTGCGGGTATGTGCGGGCATCACCACCCTTTTAGTCTTTTTAGTTTGGTTTCCCAGCATTGAGATTAAAGGTGAAACTTGATGGGACATGATTGATTATCAATGCATCAAAACACAGCAGTGCAAAACAGTATAAGAGCTAGGCTAGCCAGTTCGGTTGTATTTATAGCAACGTTTATAAAAGGTCATTAGGTTTGCTTCGGCTTGACTTAAGAAATTTAAAAAACGGCTTACGTCTCTTTAAAACCATAGACGTTGCATTGTAAAGCGTAATGTCCAAAATATGCCTTATCGCAGCATACAGTACAAAGCCAACTTATCGTTAGTTCTCAGAAACTTCTTCTATTTCTAGTTTTGCAGTTTAAAGCGCAATTAAGATTGTTCCAATGCACAGCGTGGAAATATTCAGTCTGTTCGCCATCCTTCATCAACTCTGAGGTCCGCTTCACGCTGCCAAGTTTCTGTGATCAACACTTGGAATTTATAGCTTAAGTAATTCCAATATACGTTTTAAACAGCTGAAAATATTTGAGGAAAGTATAGAACAGCGATTAGCTGTTTCTCTGAGCTATTTCGGAACTGCTTATTTCCTGCAAATTTTTGCAAGAAAAATGTCAAATATGATTAGCGAAATTTGTCGGAGGTCGACTATCGATCACTTGAACCGAATGAATACTCTTCTCAAGACAATACGTTGCAGCATATTCAGTATTGCCGTGGCACGCAAGATCATGTTTGAGTCAAGATTACCGACGATTATATTTTTTGATACACAACAAGGTACTCACGCCATTCACGACCCGCTGTCTCCATTCTTTGGGCAGTCAATAAATAACAAAATATTCTCGTCGAATTGAACCCGCCGTGGTACGAAGGAATGTTACCTCCGCTTAAATCTATAAAAAGCAAAGTGAAATTTTGTACACACGCCATCGGAAAGTGCTGATCCGGTGTGAAAATTTCAGCACTCAGGAAATCCAGGGCAAAAAATAACTATTTTAGGAATGCAAAAATAAGTATTTTGCTTCTTAAGCAAAGCAAAGGCTAATAAATTTTTCGAATAGTTCACTGAGATAATAAAAACCAAAAGGGCTGTGGCTTCGATTTCTGTATTTGAGATAACATTCCAGTTGCATCAGAGTTCAGTTTTATACTGCCTGAACCAAATGACCTATATATAGCAGCTGGACCTTGCGGTTTTCCAACAATCGGAACCTTACTTTTTTTTCGACTTAAGATTTCCACCTTTGCTCTTCTTCCCAGAACTGGAATGAAGAAAGGAAAAGATAATTTGTTAGACATACAATGGCACAGGCTGTGAAATAAAGTGCTAGGTACTTACAAGCTACGAAACTCGCTCAGTGCCTTTCGGCTGGTGTCCGTGAGTTCCTTTTCGAAGGCTTTTTTGCCATTTGTTTTTCCAGTTGTCTTCTTGCGTTTTTTACTTGGTGTTTTTCGAGTGGAATCTGCGAAAGAAGCCCGGAAAACTGTGAGAGTTATACAGATCTAGCCACTGTATTCACATCTCACACAACAATATGACTTCATTTTGATAAAGCCAAGCCCGGACGGGAGTCAAGTTTTACTGTTGGCCCAAATGGCATAATTCTCGTCCCCGCGTTCTTGTTTTAACAGGGTTTTCCGCTCAAATGGGCTGGTAATCACCCCCAATCCCCATCAGTGAAAGCCAGAATGAAACGGTTTAACTAACCATCTTTATCATCAGATGGAAAAACATGGAGTCGCTTCTTTCTGTTTTTTCGTTTTTCTTCTCGTCTCAGATACTCTTGAAATTGCTTTGCTTTCAACTCCTCGGGTTCCAATTTCTGAAAGAAAAATGGCAGCTGCAATTGGCGGGGTTGCACGTCGAATAATCGTTATCCAGTTATATATACAAAGATCAGACCACAGGTTTTGCCGAGCAAATTTTTTGATACCAGAGGCCTTAAGCTTGGCGTTCATGACGCATCTCTAACTGCAAACGGCAAAATTCCTTTTGAATTTTCAAAACAAATGGTTGGTTTCTGAAGTGTAGAATATTCGGTGCAATATATCAAAACATAAAGTGACTAAAACAAATTATGGCCGATAGAAAGTGCCTAAAATCAATTCTTCAAATGTGACTTAGCCGTTTGCTTTTAGAATTTTCTGTACTGATTATGCTAAAAGTGTCTGCTATTACCCATGGGGCAAGGAGTCTCGTTTGGTAAAGGACATTATTATTACAGTAAATCAGTACATCATAGAAAGTTTTGTTTGTGTTTTAACCTTATCTTTTTTCTCTTTATTCTCTTTCCTACTTTTCTTTGAACTTGTTTTACTTTCTTTAGTCTTATCTAAAAAAAATGAAGAATAAAACGACAGTCATTCTTCAACTACCCTTAGATAGAGAAAACAATCGTAAATAATACATTTCTTGTATTTACCATTTTCGGCTTGAAACCAAACTCTTGGGGGTCGGCTTTGAATCTCATCTCGATGGATGATCATATTTTTCGCTTTATTGGCCTCCATTTCGGTGATTCTAAGCTACAAGAAAAGGAGAGAACTAAAAATGTCAGCAAGCAGGAGATTTTTTATTTTATTTTATTTAAAAAAAATTGCCCAAAGGCAAGGTGTAGCTATAACAGGACACGAAGATAGTACGCAAGAGAGATAATGATCGATCCACAGAACGAGAAATGATACTCACATATGCCAATGTATCGGGTCAATTCAAAAACATTGTACACTAGACCTTAAAACTTTAACTTCTACAGAGCGCATAGCATATTAGGGCAAAATCAGGGCGCTTATATATAAACTGTCCCCTCCCCCGTCCTTATTCCATCCCCGTGGATAAATGAAGCAAGGTATAGACAATCACTATCGCTAAAACACACGAAGCCCGATGGCAAAACATACTTCTTTATCTTCCCGTTCCTGTGTCAAGATCTCCTGAACATCTGCCTCAAATTCACCCAACTTCTTTTTATATTTATTGATAACCTCCGGGGCAACGATCCTGCTTTTGACAGGATTTCTCGCTTGTTTAACGATTTCTTTTAGTAGTTTTCTCTCACCTTCCCCAACCAAACTGATTGATCTGTAATATGAAAATGGTGGAGATACACATGCCTGTCAAATGTACTGTATCTTAATACGGAATTACCATGCAAGAAGATGTACAATAAGATGATACAAGCATACAATAAGATGATACTATAGCATACAATAAGATGATACTATAGCAAATTACAATAAGATGATAGTAGCATACAATAAGATGAACAATAAGATAATACTTGCATACAGTAAGATGTACAGTAAGATGATACTTGAATACACAAGATGATACTTGCATAGAATAAGATGATACTTGCATACAATAAGATGATACTTGCATACAATAAGATTATACTGGCATACAATAAGATGATACTAGCATACCATAAGATGATACTGGCATATAATAAGATGATACTTGCATACAATAAGATTATACTGGCATACAATAAGATGATACTAGCATACCATAAGATGATACTTGCATACAATAAGGTGTACAATAAATGATAGTTCTATACAATAAGATGATACTTGCATACAATAAGATTCATAGTACCTGCCAGAAAGGCCAGCTCTGGCCGTCCGACCAACACGATGGATATATTGTTTAACTGTATTAGGCATGGAGTAGTTGATCACCTTAAGAAAAAAAAAAGCTTAGAATGAGCTGAACAAATTCCTTGATTCATCAATTCTCGTATTATAAAAACATTTTCAATTTGAATTTAATAAACAAATAGATTCGCGCCAAGAGGCGAGTTACTCCAAGATAAAGGAATAAAATACTATTTATGTAGTGAATTTAAGCAGTAGTTCAAAGTAGTTAGCAGTATGCGAACAACAACAGCCCTCAATTGTGTTATTCTGCCCCTAAAATCGACCCTGGAAGGTCGTGTTAGTTTACCGTTTTAACTCCTACAACATCCAAGCCACGAGAGGCGAGATCCGTTGCAACTAAAACATCAACCTCTCTTTTCTTGAATTTATTGAGTGAGTCAAGTCTCTGTAGGATAATTATAGAAACATGCTTTACTCTAAAGAATACCAGGCGAATTTAATCGTCAAGAAATGAGGTAGAGCCATGAGTGGACGGCTTTACTAAACTCCATAAACAGTAACACATTTGTTTGTAATGTTTACTGTATATCTCCTGCTAAAAGAAAGAATGAGGTCGTCTCTTACCTGTAATTGCGTCAGGTTACCATGAAGTTCTTCAGCATTCACACCCAGCAGACCCAGAAATATCCTCAGACGATGGGCAAGTTGTTTCGTTCGGACAAACACCAAGCAGTTCTCGTGAAAACCTCGACAGCATAGAGCTAAAATTCATACAACATCGATTTCAAAAACTTCACTGCAAAGCAAGAGTTTCACATTGATATGAAGGCAATAAAATGTTGTTGACTGAGAATGTTTCATTTAACTGATATCTTTTCGAAGCATGTTTCTTCCTATATTTCATCAAAGTGTCTGCTGGTAAAGGTTTACGGATGTTTACCTAAGACAATCGCTGTACGATCTTCTTCTCGACTTTTCTTGATTCGAATAAATTCCTGTCTCAAGTTCTCAGCAACGTCGGTGCTGTTGTCAACGAACAGCTTCACTGGTCGATTCAATGACAGTAGCACAAGTTCATTTACCTACAGAAATAATATGAAATGTGATGGAGTTTACGATCACCATTAATCTATTTGATCAGAATTTGCGCTACATAGTAAGCCATGATGAAACGACGTTCAACAATTTACGTCCAATAGAGCGATTCGAAATCTTTTGGGTCAAACGTTACGATTCGAATTTTTCCCTGAAATTAATTTCTACACTTCAAGGAAAATGAATGTCCTTGAGGTTTCTCTGAAAATTCATTTTTTTACTTTGGGTTATCGAATCTGAGGAAGGTCGAGTTCTGGTACTAGCTATAGGCCTACTTCGTCAGTCATTGTGGCTGAAAACAACATAGTCTGTCTTCCTTTCGGTGAAAATTTAACAATTTCTTCGATTTGATCTCTGAAGTTCTCGTCTAACATCCTGAACGGAGAGATTATATGTGCACATATAGTTATAAGACATTTATCTAAGAAAAATTATAAAAACAGGCATTTTCGGTTACGGGGATCTACGATTACGGGGTCATAGAAGACAAACCACTACAACTAATTCTGTAATATACAACCTAGTGTACATGTACCTATATATACACACGATAAATGTAAATTTGGAAGTTTCAAATGATTAGGTGTTTACCTGTCAGCTTCATCAAGAACCAGAATCTCGACAAATTGCAGGCCGAATGATGGCGTATTGTGAAGAAAGTCAACCAGTCTTCCAGGAGTTGCTATGATTATATCAGGATTTTTACGCAAGGCTGCTTCCTGAGATTTAAGTTCCAGTCCTCCAGTAGCAAGAGAGATCTGAATGCTGGTGAACTTCGCCAGAGCTTTGCTCACCGAGTGGACCTGTATGACAAAATATACGTTAGCCTGTGTGAATACCGTCGAGAAGTTGGGAGGGGTGGGGGGGGGGTGAAGGCAGAGTTACTACCCGGGGGAGGGATACATTTTTTGTAATAACACGTAATAAACCGACAAACGATTTACCTGGATTGCCAGTTCTCTGGTGGGAACTAAAATCAGAACTCGACTGGTCGCTACCTGAATGGGACGGAATAAAAGACGTTCCAAAATAGGCAGCATGAATGCTGCGGTTTTGCCTGTTAAGATAAATTATCAAAATATATACATGCATGTTTGAAAGGAAAGAACTTTCTGATCCTGAGAGTAGTAATCTCGATTTCCAGGGGAACTTGTACAACACAATTCAAACACAAGCTAATATCAGGTCTAAAATCTGTCCTAATGTCTTAGTACTAACTCTAGAAGGCAATTATTTTTATTGTCACATAAGATTTTTACTATGACAAGTTCTCTACCTGTTCCCGTTGCTGCGCAACCGCAAATGTCTTTTCCCATGAGAGCGACTGGAATCGCTGCAGATTGAATAGGCGTTGGATTGGAAAACTGAAGTTCATTGATGGCCTATTGAGAGAACAATAGTTGCATCTTGTCAAGCAACGGTACAGTATTAGACCTACTGAAATCAATGCCTGAGAATTTATTTACAAATATTTACAAATATTTAGAATAATGAGAATAATGAAATAGAATAAAATCAACAAATAGTCTCGCTTTCTCATTCCAGAATATCATTCCAGTTGTAACTAGCATATTGAGTTCACTGCGGGAGCGGCGGGAAAAAAGGCGCCAATTCGCTTCAATGGCTTGCGCTTTTATCATTAAAATTGAGTGGTTTTTATACCAAAACTAAATAAATTCGAAGGAAATTCGCCGTGAAAGAAAAGCGTTTGACATCGGCAAAGGTTACAGATACAAGGTATATATTTTCATCCTTTCTGTCTCTTGGCAAGACAGGATTATCTGAGTTTTTACATTCGTAATTTTACTTGCAATTTTGTTTTGATAGGGCCTTGTGAAAACAATGGATAATTTTATGGATTAGATCATCTGGCATTACCTTCAAAAGAGGTCTTGATAAGTTCATTTCAGTGAACTTCACGTCTGAAAATTGAGTAGGGCCTTCTTCAAAAAAGTCATCACTTTTTGCCGTTTTCCTAAGTGATGAATTCTCGTCAAAATCAGAGCCATCACCGTCAGCATCGCTTTCGGAACTTTTATTCACTTCATTGTTTTCAGCCTGTGTTTCTTCTTCATTATTTGCAAAAGTTGTCTTCTGAAAAAGGCATTCATCTTACTTGAATGTAATGTGATAATGTGCACACAGAAAAGCTCACATCTTGCGTAAAAAAGCAAACAAACTCTTTATTGCAAGTTGTGACAACCAATGTCAACCTTGTCAAGTTGTTAGACCTGTTGTGTTGACAAGCACAATCCACTACATGCAAAAATTCATCTTGAAAGTAATGACATTGTTAAACACAGCCTGCTCTAAACCTGGCACAATGACTGCAACTCTTGAAATTGGCATACTTTGCTTCAGCAAAATTGGAGAGTTATATTAAGTAATAACTTTATCAATTATGCCTCATTATTGGTTTCAGTTGTTGCGAAGTGCAGGCAAAATACCAGGGCTGCAAGTGGGAATAAGTAGTGCTTAGGTAACTTGCTAACAGCTTGTAAACAGAGTAGTTTGCAAATTTATCACAAGTTGTGTGCTTTGGTATGTGTGACATTGACACTACATGAATAACACACATTATAGTTGACAAAATGTGGTGTGTTTTTTATTTATACTTTCCTTGCTTATACCTTTTCATCTTTTCTTTTTTCTCTCATTTCATTTATCCTTGTATCTAAGCTTACAATAACTGGCTCCTAAAAGCAAATGGAAGGAAAATTTTCACCTAGAAGCTCATGGAATAATCAGGATGTGTTCTCTCTAGCCCAAAGCATTATACACACCTGTAAATCAGGCATTTCACTCCTGAAATCTCATCAACAGTCATGTTGATATAATAGTTTCTATAATAGTTTTAGGGTACTCACAGACAAGTTAAATAATACATCTTGTGTAATTAACAGACTGCAATGCATGCCAAATGCATGTTACAAAGTAAACATTGGGACCTTACCGAGGCCTCCTTCCTCAAATGTTCCACTGTTTCTTCAAGATTCCAGTCAGTTGCATGCTCATCATCTGAGCCAGAAAACTGGAAATCCTTGTCAAAATCTTTTTCCTTCCCCCCTTTTTGTTTCCTTTTCCTTTTCTTAGTTCCAACCTTTAACAATAAACGAAGGCAGATATACTACAGCAAAGATAACATCCACTTGTAAATAGCAAGAGCTCACAAACTAAAACCTATGCTATCAGAAATGGTAGCCCTCATGTAAAAGCTCATATATGCACAGCAAATAATTTGCAATCAAGGTAAAATAATTTATATTCAACTGGTAATTTTTTATCACTTTGAATTATCTTTGTGAACCTGGTTTTAACTACTGGAACTTCCTTTGAAGAAACTTACTCCAGCTGCATTTTATAGGTGATAGACCGATCAGTCTAAAATATTCTTAGAATATTGTATATTGGAAGCGATCCCAAAGCGCTTAGTCAGCTAAGCCACTCATCTTTGTAAAAGCCTGAAGTGTGCTTATTTTTAGTCATCTATAGTGCATGGGTACGACGATAGTCACACAGTATTTCTACTTCTTTTAAAGAAGGAGTTTTAGAAGTTGTTTTGATATTGGGCATGACAGCATTTAATTCAGGGGAACGCTATTTAATTCCAACATTCGAGAAATCTATAGCCAACATTAATGTTGCAAATTTGTGACATTTGAGAAATTTTAGCAAAACATTCCGTATACCGCAAATGTATCAAATTTGTAACATCTTTGCGGAATGATAAAGAAGGCAAAAGAAAGAAGAACCATACTTTTTCATCGTCATGAAAGCTCCCCTCACTTTCATAATCCTCTATTTCTTGGTCGGACTCTATAGTTCCAATGTCTTTCAAGCTCGCCATGTTGTTTTAGCCCATGTGCAGTACTTCCATTGAATGGAGAGAGAAATAGGAATTTCAAAATATGAAATTTAAATGTTATAGTTTTGTGACAGCTTTAGTGCTTTTCTGTATTGTTGTGTATGCCAAAATGCTCAAGTGTTTAAACTACTGGTAACTCTAATTTAGTCCTATTCAACGATTAACCGATATTTTACAAGATTACGGTGGCAAAACATTAAAAAATTTCATTGAGAACTTTTACAAGACGATCCTTAGTTGAAATTTGGAACTAATGTGAACCCGCGATTGCTTTGCTCTTCCTCGATACTTCATGTTCTGTTTTGATACAACTTTTGTTACATCAACAAATGTAAAGAAACAAACATCAAAGTCCAAATTATTCGAAAGAATTCAAAATCGAACAATACTCTGAAATTGGCATCCTCTCTGGCATTTAATTTGAAATCGACACGTTTTCAAAATGTCAAAATCGTTTGATGTTGTCATTTTCGGAGCAAGTGGTTTCACTGGACAGTTTGTTGTGCAGGAATTCGCGAAACAAAACTCGCAAAACCTGCGCTGGGCCGTGGCAGGAAGGAACAGGGAAAGGTTGCAAGATACTTTGCAACAAGCCTCAGATGAATTGGGTTGGTTGCTTTAGTTCTGTTCTATGCTATTTCCGACTATTCAACAAAATTATTGAGTGGTAGCGGAGTAGAAAGATTATCGGGATTGAAATGATCTCGACTACCATTCAGTATTCATTTTGCCTTCTAAATTTTGGCCTTGAATTTGGAAGAATAAAGGACTCCTTTATCTATTTTAGTAATTTTCCCACTAAAATATTTAAGATTAGACAAGGGTCATTTTGTCAAACTCAAGAGTAACGCTAAAAAACGATGGATCAACCATCACCTAATTGACCTAAATTATACTGATCATTTCCTCGAGATCGCTCGGGAATTGTAGAATTACTCAATCAACAATTGCAAACCCAGGAAAATACAACTTACCTTAAATTACTTTTTGCTCAGCGCGTCTTGTGTTGATGTTTAATTGATAATTTTTTTAAAGTCACATTCATGTTCATTTGTTCATTTGTATTTGCTATGTTTTAATTTTATTGTGTAAGTGTTATGCGACTTAAAAGACATGACCAAATGTTAACAAAAAAAGGTTAAAAAATTAACTAATCCTGCTGAACCTGGCTGTTGGAAATTCTGTAATAATTCCATTGCCATAGACTAGTGGACCCATATTCAACTATTACTAATGCATGGTGTTACAGATTGCAAATTAGATATATAGAACCCTAAATCCAGATATTTCCTTGCTCTCAAGGTTACTCCATATAAAATAGTTAAAGTAAAATGCATTGTACTGGGGATTGTGAGATGATTAGGAGCTGGTCAACCCTTAATAGCTTATAATGTGTTTAACAGGTAAAGATTACTCTGGCATAGATGTGATTATAGCAGATGTCAAAGATGAAGAATCTTTAAATGCAATGTGTGCTGCAACTAAGATGGTCTTGAATTGTGTAGGACCAGTACGTATAATAAAATTGTTGTGAAAAAATTAGCAAAGCTTATGGAGGTTTGTCTCGAAAATTTAATATATTAGCTCATTATGCAATGGGGCAGTGCTGGTCTGAAAAGAAGTTTGCTAATGATGGAAAGATTTCATTACACCCTGTAGCTGTTAGGTTTGCTATTGAATTAGCTGAGAATGAACAAAGTTTGTTCGATTTGTGTTGCATTTAGTATCGTTTCTTTGGAGAGCCTGTGGTGAAGGCCTGTGTTGAAAATGATTGCCACCATCTTGATGTCAGTGGAGAGCCAGAGGTAGTCCTGGATACACATATATTGCCTAAAGATTTCCTTTTTCAGTTTTTTAATATCACATGAGTAACACAGACCTGAAGACTTAAATAAATATGACTGCATTTATCATAATCAAACACAAATTCAACAAAATTGCTGAAAGACTCCCTGCGTTTAAATTATCTCTCAAATTTGGGCAACTAGTGTTGTCAAAAGTAGCACAAGTGTAGTGAACAAAATAAAGGTTCAAAATGAACGATTTCGGGTGATGAATCACAATTAAATTAATCATTTTGGGTTGAGTAGATTTTTCTTTTGTTTTGTAGGAAAACGTCGCTAATTTTCAAGCGCCATCGGCATTGTTTACATAATATACTAACAGTCAAACTTTTAAAATTAGACCGCAATTTTTTTATTGTTTTACATTTTTTAACCGCGTGATACACACTTAAAATGATATTTTGACTAGGCAATAATAAAAAAAACCAAATGCAAAGTGATTTTTGGTCGTACGCAAAAATATTTTACTTTTAGGTCTCCACCAATATTCATCAAAAATGCAACTTTTAAAAGATTAATGACTTCCAAAACATGTCACGTCGAGTGTTTGCAACAATTTTAATATTTTAATTAGTTCCTGGAAACGATGCAGTTTAAATACGATGAAAAGGCGAGAGAATCTAAGATTTTCGTGATCGGAACATGCGGTTTCGATAGCATACCAGCAGACATGGGCATCGTTTATACACAAAGAAAATTTCCAGGTACTGGAAAATAATGATTACAAAATCTCTTGAAGTTGTTCCTTCTGACAATTCACCTTCGAGGTATAATTGAATGAAATTATTCAAATAATTACTGGTGCATTTAGAATAAAATATCTTCTAGGCCAATTGTGTCATGTGGAGAGTTTCCTGACTGTTAATTCTGGGGAGAAGGTACTTTTGAAAACTGTATTGTTTATAACCATATCAATGCGTAAATAGAAGATTTGCGTGAATAGAAGTTATTGAAGAAATATTTGTGACATTTCCTGCGATAAATGCCGCCTAAAACGTTTAGTGTTTGCTAGTCTCTTATTGTACTATTCCGTTTTTATTTTATAGGGCATGCGAGGTCACTATGGAACTTATCACTCACTCATTTACGGCATTGCTAGCGAAAAGGAAGGGAATCTCAAGAAATTACGAAAAGAATTGTTCCCAAATCCTCTGCCCCGTGTTGGGCCAAAGTTGAAAATGAGGTCTGATGGAATGCCAATTAGCCTTTTTCCCGCTGAGACCTCGATTACTAGTTCTGTAGCCGGTTGTACAAAGGCTGGATAGCACTATCCACCTGACAGATTCTTTCAACCGTTGTAAAACCATTTGAAAGACAGTGAAATTACAGCTTTAGAAACCCCAGTGTAAAAATATTGAGGTTTAATCAAAGTTATACCAAACAACGGACAATTTTAGTGCGGTTGAAAAATACCACCGGTGGATAGCGCTACATCCAGTTTTCATACAGTCGATTCCTGATAAAACAAAAACCAACTGAATTACCTACTGACTTTTGTCGCCCGAAAATTGGTGAGGCCTGGCCAGCCAGGTATAGCGTACGTTAGCCTTGCTCCTTTCCTCAAGTGTTCTAAAATCCTTTATTTGAAAGATCAACACGTTGATCTGAGAAATAACTCTGGCATGGATAGCTTCTTGTACCTCAATAAACCAAATGAAACGAAACATGTCATCGTGAAACTTGAATTCGAACAGCCTCAAAAAATGCGATCCGAAAATTCTCGCACATTCAGAAATTGAACTTGCTGTCTTGTGATTCTGTGGGACTCTCTGAATACTTAGCTGTTCGTTGTCCAACGCGTTTTGGTCGATGGTCGATCCTGATTTCCAAACGTACGAGGCTACTATTTTAATTTTCCGCGTTATAATTTCATTCACAGAGGCTCCGTGTTTTATGGAAAAGAAGTGGACAAATGGTCGTTACCATTCCTCGGTGCCGACCCCTCGGTCGTGCGACGTACCCAACGTTACAGACATGATGAGCTCAAAAAACCCCCCGTTCAATACTCGGCTTACTTCACCTTACCATCCATCATATACGTCGCCATGTTGATGGTGTTTGGCTTTATCTTCATGCTTCTTGCGTCGTTCGACTATGGCAGAAAAGTTTTAGAGAAGGTACAGCATGAATGCGCATGTCCTGTTCATGGATGCAAGTTCCATGTTAAAAGCTGGGACGGCGCACGCTGAACAATTTTTCAAGTTAGCTATTGCGACACCCCCCGCTCTTCTCCGTTGACTACACCTCCCCCCCGCCTTCCCTCCCCCTCTCAATGTAGGTCTCTGACGTTTTAACTATATTAATTGCTGCGGTTTCGTGAAGGTGCATAGCAAGCATTTTGCACTATTAATTAAGGCCCATCATTGAACATAAAAAAAGCGAAATGCATTTTTTTTACAATCCCCCCCCCCCAGGTCTCGATTAAGATTGCAGAGCCAATCAATGATTTGTGGGTCCGGGTACGAGATTGTATGTTGCTAGGGCCTTGTGAAACGACCTCTGTAAACTGTATGATGAAACTATCTGATATAAACGAACATCTATATATACATGCACTTATATGTTTATAGTACCCGAAAATATTCTCGTTTGGCATCTTTTCACACGAAGGACCGACAAAAGAAGAGGTTTTTATATGATACAACTGCACATAAATGAAAATATAATATAGAGTGCTGTGCTTTCGTGTAACGAGGAATAATTCCTCATGAACTTTGATAAACTTTGTAACTTTTAGAGAGACGGTACAAGCTTTTCTATGACATTCTATGGTAAAGGATTTAGTAAAGATTATGAAGGGGAAATAAGGTGTGTTTTGATGTATGTGTTTACGTATCTACTTCAGTACAATGAGATGTGTAAAATAAACGATTTTATAAAATGAACGATTTTTCTCAGTCCCGAATCGAAGATGGACAAAAAGATTGTCACTCGTATTATTGCGCCTGGTGAGTTCAACATTTTTTTGCTAAAACGTCCTGTAAATTTATTTGCTTACTTGTATCGAGTCATTTGCCGCTAAATGAACTAGATTGGAACTACATCGCTATGTATTTAACGATTTTCAGAGCCAGGATATGTTGCCACGCCAATATGTATGGTTCAAGCTGCCATTGTGATTCTCAGCGAAAGAGAAACTATGCCAGAGAGGTAAATTATTTTATTCATTTAGCAAAATCCTATTCTAAGCTGTTGAAATTGGTCGGTATATAACTTACATGCATGCCACCCCATATTGGTGCGTCTAAGTCCTTAGAGAAGGGATCAAGACTTGTAATGTATCACACCAACCTCTGCACGGGCGATCTCTGGGCAATCTTTCAAGTTGAAAAGGGAAATCTTAGCCCCTTTGCCCGCCAGAAGGCAGCTGCGTGCCTTCTACTCCTTCGACCTTGTTTGCCTGAAGCTTTTCTATTGTTAACTGATCAACACATTTTAGACTTAATACAAGTTGACTTTTTTTGTTTAGTGGAGGAGTCTTGACACCTGGCGCTGCGTTTGCTGATACGACGTTGATTGAACGATTGGACAAAGCCGGTGTTCGTTTTGTTACCGTGGAAGAAGCAAGTCCGATCGAATAAAGAACTGCATGTGTTAGGAGAAATCAATTTTTCGCTAACATCAATTCAGCACAACGGATTGCTTTTGATTTGCTCAATATTATAAACATTGATCATGCTCGTTTATTTGAAGTAGTATAGACATATTTTTGTAGATGATAAATGGCGATATAAAAATAAGGAATATAGCATTATAATTTATGTTTACAATTCGACATACTTTTGGTGTATGTGATATGGTGGATTTCCTTTCGCGTGCAAGGCTATTGGCTCGCGCCTGGTGAAGAGGCAGCTGTTGCTGTGTTGCGCAAAATCGTAAACGCCAGGAGAAGTATCGGTCCAATCTTGCCTCAACGCTAATCCTTTAAGCTCAATTCTTTTATGATTAAGATGTTGACATTTTAAGCAAAAAATCATCGTATATTGAAATGTCGGAACGGCCTATATTACACTCGGGATCAACGTTTATTGCATTTCTACTTAGCTTTTTATTAAGCTATATTGTGGATTGCTCAAATGACCCTCCAGAAAACAATTCGCTTTATTGATTGACTTGACTAAAGTGAGTTAGAAGCCTAATGCTTGGCTTCAAGATAGCTATCACAATAATTTAGCACCAGTCGATTTTAGCACCAGTCAGAATTAGTCAGAATTGCCGACATCGAGGATGCAAAAGGTCTCTGTATGATTCTGAAATGAATATATTCAGCATGTGCGCATATTTTTTGGGCGGTCTGGCCAATACAAAATGTAGTCTGCAAAATGCAGATGTGTATTTAAATGATTTAAAGCAATAACGCTTTGTACTACGCATGCGCGACGCTGGGAGACGCTATATTGACACATTGAGACGTATTCAAATTGAGCATAATGTATTTTTCGCATCACACAGCAACAACAACTAAACTCTTGAGCACAAAGCGAAGCGAACATGTCAATCGTAAAACAATTTAAAGGCAACAAGATTTTGAGCTCCGCAGAGTTCGTTGCCCTGTTCAAGAAGTACGACAAAGACGGTATGTATGGCTTTACAAAAGGTCCATGAACGCCTACGCATAGGACTTAGCCTTATCTGAAGATTTCCTAAAGTCGTGAGCACGAGGACGACATACCTAACCCGCTTTCTCCCGATAATAGGTAATGGGTTAATCGAAGCTGGCGAATTGGACTCTTTCCTAAACGATCTTTGTGAGGAACTTGGAGCTGAAGTAAGAATGAAGTTATTCTCGTCCATATATGAATATATATGAAATGAATTGTTGTTTTTTTTAAGTTGGCCGCATGCATAAGTGCGTGTACCGCGTTATCGCGATTTTGGTGTTTTTAATAGCACACGGACTACACTTAGCGAGTGCGCCGAGCTGTAGTCAGTATTGAATATTTCTAAAGCAAAAATCATGTACGACTTGCGGCGTATAGACGGGAAACTGTCAACGGATCGAATGCCAATAAGCGAAACTCGTAAAGCAATCGGAAAACGGACCGTTGACTGGAACACATCCGGTCGGAGCAATATATATATAAGCATCGCTATTTTCATGAAAAACATTTGTTCGCGTACATGTCATATTCGTACGCTTATATATGTGTATATATTATATTAAAAAACGGCGTGACGCGGGACCACTTTTCGATGAAGACCAAACATGACAATCAAGCTAGCTGCAGCTTGATGTAGTATCTATTCCGCGCTTTTCAACACCAACCGCGGATCCTTCACTAATTGTAGTTTAAACGCCATAAACGCAATAATTAAACTTTTTTTCCACTCTACGTTTGAGATTTGCCGATTGCATAGGGGCCGAAGCAGCCCGTTTTCCGGCACACGCGAACAATTTATTCTGCCAAATGTTTCCGCCTCTAAGGTACGACTATTTCAATAACAATTCTTTAGAAAGTTTCATGTTTATACACAAAACGAGTGCGTACATTTGTCACACGAAATTTGTGAAAGAAAATTTGTCCATGTGTAAACAAGGCTTAGTCTAAGGCTTATTGACTTTGGCCTCGCATATACGACAGTAGTATAACTTATATCAACTCTGCGGTTAAATATCACCGGATATTTTCCACTAAGCGGAACTTTGAGTGGGAAGCGAAATTTTTCCTTGTGGGTAATGTTTTACACTCGAGAGTCTACGGACAACTAAACCCCACACGCGCAAAATTCCGCATAGTGGCAAACGGCCGCAAATGCCCATTTTTCGTCTTCTCGATATTTTATAAACGGCGGGCGAAGTTTGAAAATTAATTTTTTTGAAGATAATATCCTTTGCATATATTCTTAATGATAAACCCAAATGCATATATATGAGATAAGCGCAGATTCGAAGAGTCAAGACGACTCTGGCCATGCCATTAACTAATTAATTTGAGTTCGGCGTTTACCTCAATCAATTTTTTTCGCCAAAGCAAAACCCATAGCGAAGTTTTGTATTATAGATACGCGCGTCCGTTAATTCATCAACCGCTCGTACGGCCAATGCGCAGGGTTAACACTAATGCATTGTCAATATATACATGTACGAATTAATTGCTGTTTGCTTCACGAGTTTGTGGGGGGAGAAATAAACAATTGGAACGCTTATCCAAATCCAAGAAAATTTGAATACGAGTTTCAGCGTTGTTTAGAAATTGCATTGTGTTGGCAAGGCGCACCGGCAAAGCATTAAATAGGCATTGTAAACCGTAGGTATTAAATGTTCATGCAGCGTTTCAATTCCATTTTTAATATGCATGATATTAACAATTCAAACATTTCAAATATACCCATTTACAGACAACTTTAAACGAAGAAGATAAACTGTGTTTGTATATATGCCAAAGGGGAAATATTAGCTCATAAAATAGTTAAAAATCCTAATGTTTGAGCGCGTTTCAGCTCAGAATCGCCCGATGCAACAAGCTGCTAGTACATGAATACATTCAGTCGAATTTGACGCAGCTGCCGAGGTGTCGTATTAGCAAGACAAAGACTCGTAATTTGTTGAGGGGGGGAAAGGTTCTACGGGAACAATGCTTTTAAATTCGTTTAACCGATAGGCTTTTCTCGATTAAATGCAGGTTCATTTTGGCGCCGTCGAAACCTAGAAAGAAAACTATCGCGTTGCGACCTGAGCGCAATCCGATTCGAGTGAAAACTTTGCAAATGTGTTGAAATATATTAGGCTCACCGTTAGGAAAAAAATGAATGTATATGAACTCAATTTTTGGAGGTTGGGTCTTTAGTAAATGTCACCAAGCATGCGCACGCGCAAGGTACTCGGTTTAAGTAAGTCTACATTTTTACGACAATGGAAATGAGAGGAGTCTTTGTATGGTTTAATTACAACGCTTGTTAAATCTATAAACGCCAACAGATAGAAAAGGGACATTCTCCGAGTAAAGCCCCGTACAGACGGGCAAGTTTTCCTTGACAAGTTTTCTTGACCAGTTCACTTGTTGGTGTGTATGACGAACAAGTTACCGTTGACAAGTTTTCCTTGCGAAGTTTTATTTCCTCGTGTGTACGCAAAAAATTTGACAATTTTTACGATGATAAATATGAGTGTATTTTACGATAATATGAGCAATGATAAAATGAGTATACGACTGAATTTCAAAACAAACAGAAATGATAAAACTTCAAAAACCTGCTCGATTGGCTCGAAGATTGTTGCGCTGTTCCCTACTGCGCAATTCCTTGTCAAGTTTTCCTTGACGGCCGAACACACGAGCATTTTTCCTTGTTGAAAAGTTGGCATGACTAGCTTTTGAACAAAGCAATTTTTTCGCGTGGCACAAGGGCAAATAAGAAAAACTTGTCAGGAAAAACGTGCCCGTCTTTTATAGATGTATTCTCGATGCGGCAGTTATCTATTTGTAGGATAATTTTTGCGTGTTAATTAAAGAGCGAAGAAGAATCGTGATTACGATCTTGGCTTTGCTACATTATATAGATTTTTTTGCTAACGCGACAAAGCCCCGCGGCAATCTTCACTGAAATTACCGAGTACGGAGACGAGCGTCGCTTAATCATCAGAAAAGAATGAGCGTTGCAAGTGGCTATTCTTTAACCAAAACAGAATTATTTCAATCAACTATATAGACGCTAATTGCATACAAAAGATGAAACTCAGCCTAGTTATGTATTTCAGACCAGACTATAGCTGTAATGAAATATACCTCTTATAACAACGACAGCTGCTCCTAGCTTTATTCCCTGGGCCTCACGAAAATGTATGCCTTGTTAGTTTCACATCATATAGGGCCTACACCGCCAACAACAAAGTTCTAAGCCCTTAACTTTGGTGAAAAATATAGTTTTATATATTCACGAAGTCAAAGCGAAATGTAAACAAAAGATCCATAATACTTTTACATTTATATGGGGTACATTATTTATACAGTTTTATATATATTTCTATCGCAAATTTGTGATTGGGGAATCTCGATAACCAGCCTGTACATGACTTTCTTTCGATGCAATATTTTTGCAGTGTTGTTTTGACACGGGTCAACGGCATATCGCAAATGAAAAACGAAATTAAAATGTCACGGTATAGCTTCGTCGGCTATGATAAAAATATAAAACAAAAGGTGGTGTAGCTATATATTCTTCAAAGATTATCAAATTTTAAAACTCCGAAGTTATCCTCAAAAATTTTCGACGTTGTCATATTAAGATGCGGCCGCGTCTCCCTAATGAGCAATTGCAATACAATCTTAATTTGACTACATAGAGTCAAACCTCAACTGTTGATGATATTAAAAGTCCAAACCGGCGTTGCATAAAATACAAGATAAGTTATAATAGAGATGACATGATAGGTATAAGATGGCTATATATGACTCGATCTGACCCCAGGGAAGGAAACCTCAAGTATATACATGGGTCATGTTGTGATGATCGAGCGATATTTTAGTGGTATCCCTTAATTTTTAATACTTTGAAATCCACTTGAGCATCGATTTTCCGACAATTTGACTGTTGTGTAAAATTGCTGGCTTACATAACCCACCGAAGCAAAGAAAAAATGTTATTGTTGAGATACAAAATTTTTTCATTTGAAAAAAATCATTTATGACGCTATTCGTTTAAACTGTGACAATAAGCTGCTGAGAATGCAAAAAATCATTGGCATTCGTTGAAACAATGATTTGACGATTTAGTAAAAGCCTGCGTGAGTTCAAAACTTACGTTCGATTGGGATAAATAGATGCATGTGTGCATTATCAAGAGCACTGTCGTTATTACTGTCTATCTGAATTATTCATTCGCCAAGACGCCTGCTAAATTTATCGAAAAACAAAAGCTAAGATGTTCGCAAACAAACTAAAGTCATGCCTATGCAAGTATTTCAATTTTTTCAAAGTGTGTTTTGTGAATATAGTTGTAGGTAGGCGCAAGCTGAGGGCATGCAAATTATAAAAGGACGCTTTCATTATTCATAATTTGTTTCAAATTGCGCACAGCAGATGGCCGGCAAAACAAATTGAGTCATTTTGTGGAGCTGTGCCATCTTCGGTCAATTCGACAATCTATCGTTTCATTACGCTAGCTGCGTGATCATGCTGCATGACGCATAGACCACAAGGTTACTATGGGTATAATGTAGTACATTCATGTACCCTTTTGGATTTACACGTGATGCGCATTTATAGTTTCAATATAGCTGCCAATCAACATCAACAGTCGTTGTGTCACCAAAACAGCAAAGACACAAATTTGCAAGCAAAACTTCGCTTTGCAATTTGCATATTTACAGATAATATGAAGTGTTTTACATAAGAAAAAATAGTTGTTTAGGCGGGAACTTATATATAAATATATATAGTCAGTCGAGCGAAGATCGTTAATTTTTCTCAAAGGGAGGTCGGAGATATATGATCTCTGATCGAACGATATGCATCAGACTGCGGTGACCCGAGGCGTCGTCCTTTGAAAAAACAAAGAAATGATACAACGTCCAGTCTATTTAGTTTGTTCTCCACAAGGTGAATTAGTTCCCGCGAAGCGACGCGGAAAACAAACTTCGATAATGTGATGGGTTGGCGACAGAGAGAAAATCGTCAAAACCCAATCACAACCTCCTTGTAGAGTTGCGAAAAATTGACCTGCCATCGTAAGGAATCCAGAAGATACTTTATGTAGTTACTGATCCAATTTACTGATATCGATCATCACCTGGCTAGGTCGGCCCGCTATAATTTGGCAATTTGACCACCGAATTTATCTAGTTATCCCAAAACGCTCCTTGAATAATAAACGTAATTTCCTTCGGGTGGTATACCGGCTCACACTTTGTCTTGCTTCCTCCAAACGGGTGAAACCCAACGCACGAAGTTTTTTTTTAATTGCGTGTCATTTTTTTTCTGCACAGAACCAACTGAAATGTGACATCAAAGAGCTAAAAACTCTAGTGCTCTCTAAATACGATGTTAACTCTGATGGAAAACTCAGTATGGATGAGGTACGCAAATGATGCAAATACATAAAAAAAACGATAGTACAGCTGGGACATTGATTGGGGGAATGGGAGGAGGGGAAAGAAGTGGAGTGGAGGGGAGGATGGGGGTCGGGCAAACTGAGTGTATATCATTAAAAACATTTACAGAGCTGTACAGCGTATCAGTTACAACATAATTTTCCCACGTTACAGATGAGCAAAATTTTGCCAACAGAGAAGAACTTCCTTATGAGTTTTCGCAATAATGTAAAACTGACTTCGGTGGAATTTATGGAGGTGTGAACTTAGAATATGAATTTGACAAAAGTCTTTGTGTTCGAGTTTCTCATGATGTAGAATGAACTACAATGGGAAGCTGTAATTCGACCTCACGCTTGACTCTGACGTATTTCAGATTTGGTACCATTATGACCTAGACAAGAGTGGGTATCTGGAAGGAGCTGAAATCGAGGTTTTTGATAAATTATTATAAATTACACTTGTAATAGACGATTTTAAATTCTCAGTGCAAAAAAAACTTCATCTTGTGAGGGTCTAACATGGAAAGCTATTTCGATTGCCCGTCAGTTTCCTGAAAACGTATCAGAACTTGGTAATTTTACTATTTTTATAGGGATTCATCTTTGATTTCTTGAAAAAAGCTGAATGTGACGTTTCCCCAACGAAGATCAACTCTTACAAAGATGAAATCGTAAGATATTGCAAGCAATCTAAATTTGTTAACCTTTATACATGGTTAATAATACACCATAGGCCGTATGACTAATGTCAGATTTTTAGTGACACTTCCTGTGTCTATTTTTTCAGCTGAGCACCATCGATACTGATAGAGATGGAAAAATTTCGCTAACAGAACTAGCCGAGTAAGTTGCATGGTAAAAGTCTCATAAAATAATACCATGAAATTCTGCATTCTGGACTGAACGAACGCATTAAAAAGCAGCAGGTAAAAGATTTAGACAATTTTAAACAATCTCACCCCATTTTTGCGAGATTTGAGAAAGCCAATTGAGAAACCCGGCTGAGGTTCATAGTTATAGTACTTAAAGATTAATAGTATTCCTTTCTTCTAAACTAGGCTGCTACCAGCTGGCGAAAACTTTTTCAAGAAATACGAGGTACACCACAGCAAGGATTTATACATACATTAGGACTATATAGCTATGGCTATAGTATACTACCACTTAAGAACAATTAGGATATTAACCTCCCGAAGACTATACACAACTAACAGATTTAAAAACTCGATATTTTTCTCGTGAATATTAATATCACGAAGGGAAATAAATATGAACTCATTTTAAACTTTGTATCTAGGTGTATAAACATTTTTATTGTAAAATACCTATTTTTATACATTTTTAGTCTTTTTTGTAAACATTTGGTAGATTTTTCGTAATTTTTATAATTTTATCTTGTATCATTTTCAAACTTATTTTTTCTTACAGAACAAACACATGCTTGACCAGGGGGATTTCAATGAAATATTCGATCACTACGACAAGGTAAAGTGATCAGAAATCGAATTTTAGCATTGCCTTGAGCTCGGCTCTACCAGACCTGGCCAAAACCATATAATTAGACCAGTGTTAATACAACGACCGTGCTCTTGACACAAAACACCAGCTTTTTACAAGCGTAATTCCTTTCCTGGCGGCTACAACTTTGTGTCCTCAGCCCTATGGACGGTCCAAAGATTATTATGTAATGGCATGCCTGCATTTGATATTTTCTAAAGGACAAAAGTGGTTTAATAGAAGAGCAAGAATTGATGGCATTACTGAAAGACATCATGGAACGAGATGAGACGGTAAATTATATTTTCCTGCTTATTTTCAATCCTATCAGCGATTTTTTGAGTTGTAGAAAGCGGTTGTAGAGAGCTTTCAAGCCTTAGGGTCTAATCGTTTTTTTATTACATTCTCAATCCAACAGAAACCTAGTATGTCCGATCTGGAAAGTTGCAAGAATGAGATCTTAAAAATTGTCGATTTGAACAAGGATGGGAAAGTCTCAAGGGATGAGTTGGCTTTGTTACTCTCAACAAAGTAGCAAATATACTATCACAAAAATATTATTAAATGCATGATACGAGGGAATATGTTTTCATTGTTAGAAAAATTATACGAATTAGTCGGATTATTATTATTATTATTCCTCACCAAGCATATTCACTTTTCGCCTGCGGATTTAAATGTAGAATATTAATTGCACGTAGTTGTTAGCCATAGTACTAGATAGCGTGAAAATAAAACACAATTTGGTTGTATATTATCATGTGCTTAGCTTGTCATGTATCCTCCCGCCTTAGGCGATCCACGGTAACAGAATAATCGGCAGAACAAAGGTTTTTTGCAACTTGAACTTAACCACCAGCTGATAAAAAGATGATGATTCGACTGGGAGCTTTAAAGTACCTGAACTCGGCCGCCATTTTCGAAGTTAATTGAATTGTCGTCATTGAAAACTGCGGAAGGCAAAATTACGCTCGTTTTTAAGATGGTGAATAGAATCTTAGATTCGATTTTTACACCAGTGGTTTAGAAAAGAGATTCATATGCAGCATGACCATTAAAAGTTTTAAAACATTTAAAGAACTTTTCTTCCCAGTCGAAGAGCAATGAAAGTTCTGTTGCAACAAAATAACACTTATTTACACTTTGAAAACAGAGTTGATTCTTAGGCGCAAAGCTGAAGAGGCGGTTGTGCTGTAAACTCAAGCGTATAGAAAGGCGAGCTAATCAAATAGCGGTTAAATGAGGTAATTCCTATTGATTTAAAAGAAGGGCTTTCAAAAATACGAATTGCAAATGAAGTTCTCTCATCCCTATATTCTCCTTAGTCATTTTTGCACATGTTTCGTGCTCGACTTTGCCTTTCTCCAATTGATACCTCATCTCTCGGACCTGCCATCTGTCAATTCATGTGGCCAGAGGCATTTGCTTGATTTTTCTTTTGTATTCTTTTCTATTGGACATCTTTCTTGTAACAGTTTATGGTTTATATAAGGCAAATTGTCGTTTACAAATAAAACCACATGTAGCATGTGCGCGTGCGTGGAAGCAGGACGCTTCCTAAGGTGCTCAAGTGACGTAAGCGTTTTCGAATCTTACGTGTGGACGCGGATAAATATTTTAACAGATAAATATTCTTGCGATTTCAAATATATCCGGTCGTAATCCGGCATCCTGCAGACTTTGGACAGGGCCTTAAGCTTTAGCTTTGAGTACAAGCCATCAAAGAGTATTTCATGCATGAAATGAGCATTTTGTTTTCGCGATAAAAGGGGGATATTTTCCTATTGGCAACCAGATTTACAATTTCAACCAGAGCGGAAGTACACATCAGTAAACAGCCTGAGTGGTAACTGCTGGCTTCAAACCTTATTACGACATAGTCATCGATTGGCAGAATTTTACAGTTAAATTTGAAAGGTATGAATCGAACTGAATGCAATTTAACTAATTGTTTGAGCAATATTGTGAGCAATGATATATTTTCTTTATCTAAATCGCTAGATTGGTATTTATGACAATATTATACAAGCACACGAACGATGTGTTGGCCGCGGTTTAAGATAGCTACACAACATGGCAAATAATCTCAGTAATTTGATATTTGTCGTTTATTAGTTCTCGTCGGGGCTATACTTCTCTGATTGCTCCCGTCATTTTGGGTTTTCTTTCTTCGTTCAACTGTCCTCGTAACCTTTGTACAATGAGAGAGTCCGAGTTACAATTTGATAGTGGTTATATTATACTCCGAGTTATACTCCAACGACTGAGCTGAAGTGTATCCAACTTCCAAATCGGCGCGATTATGCCCGATTATTTCCGATCATTTAACGACCGTAATTCATGAGCACATGCATGTGACATCATAGAGGCAGTTGAAATGCCAGTCCAGTCTTCAAAAACCAAAACCAATTCAATGAAGTAGTCTGTTGGCTATCTCGAAGCTGAGTTAGAGAACCGGTGATAGAGAGGTGACAAGGCATTAGGAGACTGTTTCCAGGACATTACCAAAACGTTTGTCCACATAACAGGCTCGTAATGCACCGTTAATCTCGCAAGTCCACAACTGTAATTTCAGGATGACTAATTCTCCTTAAAGTCCTTGAATATTGCATTTAATGACAATCATCGCTCTTACTTCTTAGGTATCACGACTAACATGGCAGAAAACAAAAACAATGAGGCGGATCTGAATCCAGTTGCACGAGTAATACTACGAGGTCTTTATGACCCAGGCAGTCCCTGGCACGTCTTTTTGGGAATGCATTATATCTTGAAGGCAATATGGCAGGACGTACTGACCTTTTACAAATCAAAAATCGCTATTCCACGTCATTTTAGCTTCACCAAAGTGAAATGGGGCCACTCTTACACAAGCTTAGATTCCCCCTCAGATTGGCTCGTACGATTTCCAGAACCAACTGACATCAACGTCAACATGATGCCTTTTGTCATGGAAAAACGATTCAGGGATACCAGGCTTCCTGATTACTTGCGGCAGTATTTCGAGCAGATCGTAAGTCAATGTATCGTGGAGAGTGAGCGTGGTAAAATAGGATACCTCACGATCCACGAGAGCTTCGTGGAGAAGGGAACGTCGCAAAGAAGGCCGGGAATACACACGGAGTCCCCCGGCGTTTTGATGCTCAAAGGTGGCAAAGGGAACTCAAATAGCGATCGAAGACTCTTCAGATGGGGAGGGGGTTTAGGGGAAAAGGAGACAGTCACGATAACGTTGCACGGTGGTATTTACATGGCTTCAAATGTTGCAAATTCGTGTAAAGTTTGGAATTGCGAGATACTGAAGCCTGAAGGTCGTAATTCTCCAGATGTTGTTGGTGAACATGGTGACATCGAGCACCTTCGTTCACTTCTTCCTTCGAAATGCGAGACGATGGATGCGAACACAGTATATTGGATGACAGATCGTACGCCTCACGAATCACTGCCGCTTAGCGAAGGGACCTATAGACAATACTTTCGACTTGTCACGAGTCAGGTCTCAGGTTGGTTCGAAGATCACTCCACGAAAAATCCACTGGGAGTTGTCCCTGATCCGAAAATCACCAAAATCATCAAAGGTTCAAAGTTCGATCTTGATTCCTGCTACATTGTTGACACCGCCGCAGAATAGTAGAAATTATGAGAAACAGAAGCTTTTCTCGAAACGTTCAAAATTTAGTATAATCAATTTTCAATTGTGTATAATTTACGACTTAAATTAACCTATTAAATAGCTTTAATCACTCAATGTAGACTTTGAAGACCAAAATATAAAAATATTGCTGCTTTTGCCAAATTATTTTTTCACAAATTACCGATAATAGATATTTTTTATTCTTGTGACTCTTGGTACACGATTGAGCCACTGGCATGCACGGAATTGTGTACATGCGGAAGTGTACAGATCATGCAGTGAATAGCATCTACAACAGCATCAACTTTATAAGGAGAATCTTTTCCTCGTGGCAACAGATTTCACAATCACTTTCAGAGCGGAAGTACACGTCAGTGAACAGCCTGATCAATAATAGTCAAGACACAGTCATCGGCAGAATTTTGAAACTAAACATTGAAAGGTATGTATCGAATTGAATACAATTTTTCTGATTTAGCGCAACTTTGTATGTCGTTCATCCAGATTGTTAAGCAGTTACTTGTACCAATATTTACGTGGTTTGATTAAGCAGATACTTGCCTTGTATCAATATTCACGTTGTGAAGAATGTATCAATAAGGCGAATAAACTATTCGTTACTTGTTGGTCACTGCCCTCGTAACCTTTGTCAGCTGAAAGATTCTGAGGGGTAATTTGATATTCAACGTTCCAACTTCCATTACGGCGAGATCATTTCCAATAATTTCAGATCATTTGACGATCACTCTTTATAAGTGCTCTTGCAAGTGACATCCGTGGCAATTTTAGGAATACAAAACATACACACGTAGTATGCAAGTGTATTGTAGCAATTGCTGTAACAATTTTGTCTGTGCTAAATCGAAACGTGTCGGTCAGCTTTACCACAAACTGCCTTGTAACAAACGGTCTGCGGATACTTAAGTTAGTTATGTACGCCTCTATTCAAAAAGCTTGCTCACATTTATCACTGACAAGGAAATTTTGTTAACACGGATCAATGAGGTCATTTTTTCTAAATGAATGGAAAAAATAAGAAGTTTACACTGAAAAGCAAGCTCTTATTCCACTCAAAATATTGTTATGGAAAGATTGAGCTATAAGTGTAAGCGAGATTTTATAATACAGGCCATGGCTTTGAAAAGACCAACCAAACAAGGAGTAGGTTCTCCTTACAATCGCATCAGAACACCTCTGCTATTTTGGTTAATTCGCAATCGCCAGTCCTACGTCATAGATGTAGTCGATCCAGTCCCCTGATCCAGACCAATTCGTCGACCATTCGTACTGACCATTCCGTGGAGGCCTGGCGATAGCGAGTTAACAATGCATATAGGACCATTTTTGAAGCATTTGAAAAGATTGAACCCAGCACAGTTGATCCACATTCTGCATTTGAATGACACCAATTCTGCGTTTAACGACAATCGCTGTTTTTTATAGAAAACGCGCACTAATATGGCAGAGTACAAGAGAAAAGAGACGAATCTCAATCCAGTTGTTCGTATAATGTTACGAGGTCTTTATGACGAGGGCAGTCCTTGGCATGTCTTGTTAGGAATGCATTATATCTTGAAGGCAATATGGCAGGACGTCCTGATATATTACAAATCGAAAATCGCTATTCCATGCGATAATAGTGAATTTTCTTTTGTAAATTTCCTCGGCCATTCTTCGGCCTTTAGAAGAGATGGAAAACCGTTCGCCGATTTAAGGTTTCCAGAATCTCAGGACATTAACATCAACATGATGCCTTTTGTTATGGCAAAAAGGTTCAAGGACACCAGGCTTCCCGATTATTTGAAGCAGTATTTCGAGCAGATCGTAGGTCCGTGTATCGTGGAGAGTGAGCGGGGTAAAATAGGATACCTCACGATCCACGAGTGCTTCGTGGAGAAGGGAACGTCGCAGAGAAGGCCGGGAATACACACGGAGTCCCCCCGCGTTTTGATGCTCAAAGGTGGCAAAGGGGAATCAAAGGAAGAATTCGAAGAATGCCCGCTCAGTTGGGGAGGGGGCATTGGATCAATCCAGTTGCAAGGTGGAATTTACATGGCTTCAAATGTTGAAAATTCGTGTAAAGTTTGGAATTGCGAGATACTGAAGCCTGAAGGTCGTAATTCTCCAGATGTTGTTGGTGAACATGGTGACATCGAGCACCTTCGTTCACTTCTTCCTGAAGAATGTGAGACGATGGATGCGAACACAGTATATTGGATGACAGATCGTACGCCTCACGAATCACTGCCGCTTAGCGAAGGGACCTATAGGCAATACTTTCGACTTATCACCAGTCAGGTCTCAGGTTGGTTTGAAGATCACTCCACGAAAAATCCACTGGGAGTTGTCCCTGATCCCAAAATCACTAAAATAATCCGAGGTTCAAAGTTCGATCCTGATTCTTGCTTCATTGTTGACACCGCCGCAGAATAGTAGATTGCTTTACTTTTGGGACTCAAAATTGAATAACCGTAGAACTCATTAAAAAGACCATCATCAAAAATGTAGATGTTAATGCACTGTTAGAAAAATAGGAGGTTGTTTGAAAAAATAAGTAGACAAACCCTAAATTTGCAAGTGTTGAGTAATTAGTTAGATTGATTTAATGCTATAATACTTATCATTGACTGACGTTTACTTGAGCATGAAGCGACAAAACGTGACTTTCCTTTTGCTTAAAAAGAATATATTAACTCAAAGAGTTTGACAGTTCTAAACCTAATCTCATGCCTTTGATCATTCGCCATGAGTCGACGACTTCCGTCTATCAGCTTGCAATTATGTTAACAATTGTTTTCGAGAAATAATCAAAAAAGTGATTACTGTTCTTTATTGACCTATATGTTGACATTTAATTTCATGATCAGTATTTACTAAACTGACGATAAATTTTGATCAACTCTCGGAAATAAACTCTGCTGTTGGTCTCCCTCTTGTGGATTGTGTTTGTATTTTGGGATTATTATACTAGAAGACGACACATTTCAACAAGCGTGAAGAGGGAATTTTTTTAATTGATTTTTTGTTATTAACTTTTTGTTATCTTTGTTGATCATTAGTTCTAGTTAACCCCCAGGAAAGTGACATCTGTAAAAAATCATGTGACGGTTCAGCTTTTCTCTAATGTTTTTATTGAGTTGTTTGGAAACGTTTGATGGCAGTTGATGTCGTAAATGATGATTGTTGTTTTGATCTGATGACGGGTATAAGTACTGAGTATATTTGTTTGCGATATCTATTTCACCTTGACCAGCTACTGAAACGAGTCTTCAGCCATCTTACGTCGTTGTCAACAGGTATAGGTATTTATTTTTATTCATAACTATAGTAAATCACGGTTATAACTCATAAATCACGGTGATTCTAGGAACAATTAGATAAAAAAGGTGGTGAAAGCTGTCTCATTCGCACAGGGAATACCATATTCTTTTCATAAGACGTAAAAACAATAGCTTCCGTTTATATAATTAACAGCTGAGCGAGCTACTGCCTGAGAGAGAAGGGACTTTTTGCATAAATTCTCATCCCAGATTCACAGCGAGGTTACTGAAGTGGTGTAGAATCTATCGCTACTATTATTCGCTTTAAATGTGGTTTAATTCGTATTGCAATATTCTTTATTATAACCCATGTAAACAATGGGATTAACGTGTGTTTAGGTATTGTGTTGCGTTGGTTAATGCGGACATTCGATATCAATCGGTCACTATCTCAGACTTTTTATTTTCAAGAAATTTCAAGAAATGGCGGAGTCGATCGAAACGGAAACCAAACCAGGTAAACTAGGATATCCTTTCCTATCGCTGAGTGCCTTGACATGAGTCTTTAGTCAAAACTCAAAGTGGAAATGTAAAGAATGTAGGCTGTAGCTAATATACAAATTGAAATGAATTCGTATCTAGCTATATCATGGTTTCGAGTCTATTCGCAAGTATGAATATATATCATATTTTCACGTCGGAACATAGACATTCTTGAATGGTACGTGTAACCGTATAAAACGGAATCATTCAGATTGCATAAGGACTTAATCATTAAATCCAATAGATCCCGCATAAAGGTATGTTTATCATCAGTTCCATGCACTTCGTTTTTATTGAGACACCCTGTATACCTGAGATTATCTTAATGATTTGAAAGCATTAAAAGATGAAAAGATACAGAACATCGTTCCTGGCATTATTGTCCAAGCTGGTGGCTATAGAACAACTATAAATTGTTCTTCTATGGAGAAAGAGTACAAGGATGTGACTAAAAGAGCTGCCCGGGAAGGATACGAAAAATTAAAGGTGCGATATTTGTAAATATCCCGCGCACATGCAGTCATGTGGAATAATACTCTAAGTTGTGTTTACACATTGCATGCATAGACTACCTTCTGCGATAAATTCAGATAATCAGGATGATCTAAACCAGGCATAGGCCAGTTAAAATTAAGTGCGTTTGTACACTACCGAAATCTGTAGTTAAAATCCTTGCAGTGTAATCCACGCATGGTTTGACAAAACTCATTTTACTTGAATTTTCGAGAGAATTTTTGGTAAAGTTTTATCATAAACAAACTTCGTTCTAGGAGGAAGGAGGTACAGCTGTTGATGCTGTGGAAGCGGCTGTTCGCGTTTTTGAGGACAGTGAGCTGATTAATGCCGGTCGAGGGTCGGCGTTGAACTGTTGTGATAAAGTGGAGTGTGAGGCTATGATTATGAATGGAGAGGATGTAAAAACAGGTACCCCAAAGGTTCATGTAAACCCCAAACAAGAATGTTTTGACTTGGGATAAGAGAGAATTTCTTTCATCTTTCTGTCGTTATGTCCTTATTACGGTGATAATGTACGTGCAGTAATATCATGGTTCTGCTAACAATGCAATTTTCGACCACCGTTGTCTATAAGATCCAATGTGACAATGAAGTTAAGCACTTCATTTGATTTCATTTTATAGGGGCGGTGATGAATGTAAGTCGTTTCCTCCATCCTGTTTCCCTCGCGAGGAAAGTCATGGACGAGTCCCCTCACTGCGCAATAAGTGGAGATGACGGAGCACTTGAATTTGCCAAGGAAAAAGGCTATCCTGATTGTAAACCAGAAGAGCTTATAGGGTCTGAGTATCCTGAGCAGAAAGTTAAGATTAAAAACAGTGATTTCGATGAATATGGGCATTTCATACATACCGGAGAACCAGTAAAAGAACGTCGTAGCGAAAAAAAACTGAAAGATGACTACGACACGGCATCTGCCGTCGCTATTGATGCTCAGGGAAATCTGGCATGCGCGACATCCACAGGTTTATGTTGATATTGATTATTAGCCATTTCCCATGATTACATTTCCTGTCCCTCCAAACAGTTCATAGATGCTTTGCGGTTCGCAACTAGACCTAGTACCCTGCTCGATTGGGAAAGTTGGAATTTCATATCTTTTTTCACAGCATGCGCATCACAATATTACTTATATTACAAGCATCAATAATACTTATATAACAAGGCGCAACCGCTAGCAACAACGCACAACAGAAGAATGTCGAACACATGAACGGCAACAACATTTCCTCTCTTCTTATCAGGTGGCATTGCTGGAAAACTTAAAGGTCGTGTTGGTGACGCGCCTTTGGTTGGTTGCGGAGGTTATGCAAATGAATTCGGGGCAGCAACAACGACTGGACATGGTGAACGTATGATCAGAATGACCGTAGCAAGAGAAGCCGTCTATAATATGGAAAGAGGACTGGGAGCTAAGGTTAGTGCTCTATCGCAGAGTGTGGTATGAGAAAAAGATCTAAAAATCAGCGAGAAAAAGATCTAAGGTATCGAGCTACATAGATATAGGTACTCCGTTTTTAGTGGCCTGACTGAATTTTAATGTCGAGATTTACATTTTCATCCGTGTTTTAAATGTTTTCTCTTGGTAATCCAGTTTACAAATCTCGATAAGAGCCGAACCTTAGTAGCCTTGTACATTCGGTGTACACTTTATGAATTTGTTTGACTGCATGCATAAAGATGATTATTTTGAGCTTCCCCCCCTGCGTCTTTTGTTTTCTCTTGCGGAAAACCTCCTGTGCATGAGCGTGGTTATGCTTCTAAATTATCTACTATACTTTTTAATCGTAGGAATCTGCACAAAAAGCCCTAAAAAGAATGATAGATCGTGTGAAAGGTCATGGTGGCATAATTGCAATTGATCGTGAAGGCAACTTCGGAAAGGTTTGCAATACTGTTTTAATGGTTTGGGCGAGCATCAAGGATGACAAGCTGGAGTTTGGTCTTAAAGCTGAGGGAATCGAGGAATCGCTGCCCTCTTCAGACACCACTGAATAAGTCGTACCACACCACAATAAATCGTAATATTTGGCCCGGCAGGACAATTTACGCTATTAACTCGAATAACTCCCTGTAAGGTCACTTCAAAATACTATTTTGATGGTTTAGGCGAGAATCATGATCAATTAAGGACGTTTCCTGTTCAATGCTACAGATGCTGTTGAATAACATGTGCAAATTTAGGAGTAGCTGGTATACTTGTCCTTTATACGTGTACCACACAAATTGATTATTGTCTTTGATTAATTGGAATAAATATTGTTGAATCAAACAAATCGACTTGACTTCTACTTTAAATTAAAAAAGAAATAAATACAAACGAAGAAATAAATAAGCTGACACAGGGACATGGATGTAGAAATTTTCCCGTTTGTCCAGTTTGTTTTTTGTAACGAACATTTTAACTGCTATAATGATGAGTTTAATGCAACTTAAGGTTCTGACACCCAGTCCTCTTTTTTTTCTCTGAAAGCTTCGCCATCGCGCCCCTCGCAATTAAGTCACCCCTCCCCCCCTCATAACAATCCTTGACTTGTCACAAGAATTTTTTTGCCAATATATCTTTTTTGCTTAATCTATTGAAAGCTGAGATGCCTCCCGCGGCATTCTCTATACCTTTCACATAATATAGTCGAGGGATATGCGACCTCATTCAAGTCGACCTCGCACGAGTAGAAATAACGGATTGAAAAAATGGCGTTGTCGATAAAAACGGAGTCCAAGAATAGCACAGGTAATCTATCCAATACTTCATTGAACTCGTTTAGGATTAAGTAGCTGTTTCATTTTCTTGCGATAGATGAAACAAAACATCACAGGAGACTAGGAGTAGATATCAGATGTGAATGCATATGACAATGCTCCAGTTTGGTACGGAACAAAGAGGAGAATGTATATGTAAAAACAAGAAGCTTACCTTACTTAATGCAAGTCCACCACTTTATGCTAACTTTCACAAAACAGTATTTCTGACTGCGTGAACATGCAATACAGTCCAACGCTTCTGTTATATAACATACGATTGACTAACATGACCATGCATATATCAAATCGTGGCATCTTTTCTGCTCGGAGGATGATAATCAATTTTGTATGATTTGTGAGTGAAAATTGAACTTCAATCCTAAAATAAAGACTGCCCTGTACCCTCTAGCTAGCGACAACCCCATATAAATTATTGTTTTAAAAGCTGTTTGTTGAAAAGCTGGTTGTTTGGAAAACAAGTGTGTTAGAGAGGTTAGGCGGTTAGCTTTACCCCTAACAGCCGCTGGGAGTTACACATGCACAGATGTGTTTCTTTGGGTCTTTGTTTCTTAACATGATTACAAGCGTCTTCCAAATGAGCACACACAGAGCTAAAGATTGGTCCTTAAACAAAGTTTGTATATCGTGCTGTTCAATTAACGAACTAAATTTGTAAACAATTGTTCTCTATTGCACACATTAATAGCGATTACGCCCAATTGTTAATATGTTTATAGTTTAACAGATTATACTCAATGAGATAAAAATATACCATACTGAAGCGGGGAAATCTATGACTTTATTTCTTGCGAGGGTACAGAACAGGCCGGTAGTTTCGGAAGCCGCGGGAATCTTCCACTTGAATTTCGATACCCCCTGAGTGCATTAACTGCGATTTCTGATCTAATAATTCCTAAAACAAATGTCTGGTCCACTTTAACTGACCGTTTGTGACTGCGATGTCGTTAAAAAATTAAAACGGCTTTGTGCGGAAGAGCTTACCGGTCTAAAAGGTAAAGTTTGTTTTCACAAATTTCATATTTTGTTGTCTGCCTTTCGTGGAGTTGCCTCAAGCTCTATCTCAAGCTGTTATGATTATTCATTGGTTAATAATCAATTGGAATAGATTGTTTACGAATATGTACATGTCATGATGCTTGATTAAGGTCACTGAAAAAAAGTTCTCTGGTTGATATGGCCCGAATTCTCTCTGGCCTTTCCATTGCAAGAAAATAATGATTTGTATGTTGTTTTGCCTAAATATGTGGCTGAAAAAAGTCGAATTGTTGTCAAAGAATTTACATTTTTGTCAGGATTAAAACAGCCAAACGCTACCTATTTTAAGCGTTTCTCGTTGCAGGCAAAGATAAGCGATGTATCATTGTACAAGCTGGTGGTTACAGAACGACTATAGGTGACCCTTTAGATAAACTTGAGTACAAAAATGTGGCGAAAGAAGCCGCCCGCAAAGGATTTGATAAGTTGATGGTGAGTGACATATGTTGCAGGGAAACCTGTGAATGGGAATTTATTTTGAATAATATAGTGTCGTTCTAAACAGAATGGCGGCACTGCTGTTGATGCAGTAGAAGAAGCGGTTCGCGTCTTTGAGGTCAGCGAGTGGATTAATGCTGGTTGTGGTTCGGCATTGAACTGTAATGGTGAGGTGGAGTGTGAAGCGATGGTTATGAACGGGGAAGACATGAAAACAGGTAATTTAACGGTGTATCATAACAGGCTTACCTCTGATATAAGAAATTCGATCTGTGCTGTCAGAAAACCATATTTTTAAGACATTGAAAGAATTTTTCATTATGATATTGGCAGTTCTATTGGATATTTCGACTTGGCGTAAAACTGCAAAGAATGCAAATCAGGATATCCGAACTAAAATGTTTTGTTTAAATAATCTCGTAACTTCTGTGCTTTTTCCTTCACTAAAACCTGAACTAAAGGGTCAAAGCTAACAATGTAAGAAATAGTTATTCTGAGATTAAGACCAAAATAGATTCTCGCTCCCATCCCCAGTTGTGATCAACCAGATGATTGTAAAAGTCGTCATGAGTTCGAAAAAACCACGTCCATAAGTTTGTTTTATTCCTTTTCTGCACGTGTAGGCGCGGTGATGAATGTAAGTCGTTTCCTCCATCCTGTTTCACTGGCGAGGAAAGTCATGGACGAGTCCCCTCACTGCGCAATAAGCGGAGATGACGGAGCACTTGAATTTGCCGAGGAAAAAGGCCATCCTGTTTGTAAACCAGAAGAGCTTATGGGGTCTGAGTATCCTGAGCAGAAAATTAAGATTAAAAACATTGATTTCGATGAATATGGGCATTTTATACATACCGGGGAGATGGTAAAAGAGAGTCGTAGCGGCAACACAACACCACCAGGAAGATTGAATGATGACTACGACACGGCATCTGCCGTAGCCATTGATGCCCAGGGAAATCTGGCATGCGCGACATCCACAGGTAATACTAGCCTTGCTTGTTCCCATGCATTTATTGTTAGACTGGTTAGTTGGGTCATCTGCCTTTATTCATAAATAAAAGATGAGCTGCAGTCATGAGCAGGCGCGATTAGATCGTAAATCAACATGCGACATCAACAATAACAACAATAACAACAACAAAAAACAAGAACAAGCAACAAGAACAACCACACCAATAACTACAACTGAAGAGCCACTACCACTAACAAGAACCTGAAAGACGATATGCAAAGTGAAACAAAATACAACAGCGTATAACACCACATGCAGCACAAAGAGGTCAAACAATTATACTACGACGAACAAGGTACTGTTACGCGGCACAACATTCGACTTGGAAATTGTGTGGAAAGCACCAAAACTGTGGTTGATAGTTGTTCCGTGTAGCATGGCCTCAACGTGACCAACAGCAAAAACAACTGCGACGTTTTTTTCTGCTAATAAGGTGGCATTGCTGGAAAACATAAAGGTCGTATCGGTGATGCAGCTCTGGTTGGTTGCGGAGGTTATGCAAATGAATTCGGGGCAGCAGCAACGACTGGACATGGTGAATATATAATGAGAATAACCCTGGCAAGAGAAACTGTTTTTCACATGGAAGGAGATGAACAAGATGCCCTTTCAGCTCAGGTTTGTGCATTTGGTATTGCAGAGTGAGTATGATTTACGTGCTTCTGCTTGTCACTGCAATCTTGTACCAGAATTCACCAAATTTGTGGAAATATCTACATGTTCGCCGGCATTCCTTCCTTTCTGAAATATTTTCAGCAAACTGTAAAACAGTGCACCCCTTAGGATACTTAAGCTAGGAGACTGTGATATAGATTGCGGCGTTTCAGTTTTTAAGTATCTGCTATTGCACTGTAGGCATCTGCAGAGAAGGCCTTAAAAAGAATGACTGATCGTGTGGGCGGCCATGCTGGTATCATTGCGATCGACCGCGACGGTAACGTTGGAAAGGTTTGCAATACTGTTTTGATGGTCTGGGCGAGCATCAAGGATAACACTCTGGAGTTTGGTCTAAAACCAAATGAGGTTGAATCTGAACGACTGTAAATCGTAGCTATAACAAAATCACTTTATTCATTTAATTGAAATCTTATATATAGATCTTATGAATGACTGAACCTACATCTTATGTATTTAATATGTACTTCCATTGACTGATTAAACTATTTTTATCGAAATATTTCAGCTCAGTTGTTCAATAAATAGATCATTTTGTTTTCCATTTTGAACTTATAGATTTAACTAGGATTTAACTATGCAAAATGTAGTTACGACTTTTATACAACCGGCCCCTGAGCATTACTTAAATGGATGATAATACTACTGACGGATGATGATTCGGTCATGTATGTCTTAAGTCATAACGATAAAATTAAACGAACATTTCTTAAAGAAGACTTTTCACACCTAGGCCTGCTGTGATTGTTATGAAAATCAGTAGCGACAGTTCGCTATAATTATGTAAACATGAGGAAATATCATGACTTAGCGTGTCTAGACTTGTCGGTCGACATGCCCAGATTCGAAATCGTTTGTCATTCGAATCGTTGTTTTCTTGAATTTGTAAGGTGTGCCTACGTTCAATGCGAAGCTAACGAGTGTTGACGCATGCGCTGGTCCAATTACCATTTTAACACTTCTCAGTGACGTATCTTACAATTTACAGTATCTCGTAATTTCAAAGTTTCATCTTTGACGGAGAATATATTAACCACTTTGTACTGATGTAGTATAGTAGACTATAAGAAGGTTCTTAAATGCAACGCGCAATTTCCTTTGTAAACTGACCAACTCAAACAATAATAGTCTTATTATTGTCGATTTCGTCATTCATTTCCCATGGGAGCCTCACTCTCATGAATTACAAACCAATCGCCTTTCGACGTTTGATATTCGTCGCTAGGCTAGGAGGCTTCCTAGCTAAAAACATGTTATTGTTGTCAAAAACATATTCTTGCTGTAGTCATCGACAAGGTGCATAGGAGTTTCGTTTTCAGAGTTCAGACAAACTTTAACTGAAGAAATGGCAGAGTCAGAGACGAACCAGAATAGTACAGGTAAGATATTACGGTCAACACTGAGTGGTAGTTATTAAAGATAAAAAGGGATATTTCGTAGATTGATAAAATTTTTGCTGCGTTTCGACTATTTTCATGCAGCCATCTTCAGGTGTTAGTCTATATTAACAGAAGGGACTATCCATCCAAATTTAAGTGAAATTTGATATGTTATCCAGTATCAGTTCAAAATTACGAGATATTTTAAAGGCTTTACATCCTTTGACCAAATTCCGGCGAGCATTTGTCGCTGAATATGTAACATAATGACCAGTCAAGATTTTACAATTCTCCAGCATATGCGCCCTATAATGTTATATTATCTAGATTGTACAGAGTATGTGGGGTAGATTGGGGAGTGCTTGCTGTTGTAGGAAATGCTTACAGGAAATATGTATACGAATTACAAGAAAGCTAAATATACTTTAATAGTCTATGCGGTACAAATTGAAAATTCAAATCACTTGAAAACAAATTCAGGAAAGCGTAGCCAAGCTTTTGTGTTCGGAAGGGTCAATCAATTTTACAAAAAATCATGCCGCAGATGAACTCGAAGTTGAATTACCGCCGCAAACTCATCTTGTTTCAATAGCTTATCGTGTTAGTTGTCTGTTAGTAGCGAGTCAAGTCTTGGATTGTACACAGATGGCTTTATTTGTTTTGCCTGAACGTGTTCAGACAAAGACCGAGTGGACATACGCAAGCCAAGGCATTTAATTACAATTAAAGGTTGTCTATGTGATAATAGAGGTTTCGAAAACAAATTGTGCATTACTATATTTTTGAAACAGAGTGTTGGATGTTTGTATTGGAAGATAAGAAGAACTATTTTTATGCACGTTCGTTTTAGCAAACAATTTTCATTCAAGCTGACTGCATTTTTGCCCAAACTTTGTCTTTGTGCAATGCGGAAGTCAAAACTGAACAGTTGAACAAAATTCAACATCACGCTTGCGTGCGATTGCTTGCATTGCCGCTTTCCTTCGAGAGCGTTGCACCTGCTTCGCGTATCAACAAATACGTTAATTTAAAAAGCTGTTGTTTATAAATCGAATACTATATAGCATGGATAGCATGGATTGCTTATGAATCCGTCCATGACTTTTCTGGTCACACATGCCGTCGAGTTATATCGTTTTTTTTGTTTTGATAATGCATGTATTCGAAACTGATTATCCAAACTTTTGGTACCGAGTGATACACACGTTGAAAAATGAACCAATAAGATGGACTAAAACAAATTAGGCAGGGGGTTAAAATAGTAAAATAGTCTTTTCCGATATTTCCCGTCTGTCTGTATGCTTTTCATGCACCCAGTGTTATTAAGGTGTTTACGATTCACGACGCGCTTGCAAAACAGAGAAACACGACACGAGAGACAACAGGTATATTTCGTAGATTGATAACATTTTTGCTGCGTTTCGATGCAGCATCTAACCAATAAGATGGGCTAAAACAAATTAGGCCAGGTGTTAAAATAGTAAAGTAGTCTTTTCCGATATTTCCCGTCTGTCTGCATGTATGCTTTTCATGCATCCAGAGTTATTAAGGCGTTTACGATTCACGACGCGGCCAGCTCGAGGACGCGCTTGCAAAACAGAGAAACACAACACGAGAGACAACAGGTATATTTCGTAGATTGATAACATTTTTGCTCCGTTTCGACTATTTTCATGCAGCCAACTTCAGGTGTTAGTCTATATTAACAGAAGGGACTATCCATGCAAATTTAAGTGAAATTTGATATGTTACCCAGTATCAGTACAAAATTACGAGATATTTTAAAGGCTTTACATCCTTTGACCAAATTCCGGCCAGCATTTGTCGCTGAGCCAATAAGATAGGCTAAAACAAATCAGGCCATGTGTTAAAATAGTAAAATAGTCTTTCCCGATATTTCCCGTCTGTCTGTATATGCTTTTCATGCACCCAGAGTTATTAAGGCGTTTACGATTCACGACGCGGCCAGCTCGACGACGCGTTTGCAAAACAGAGAAACACAACACGAGAGACAACAGGTATGCATAATTAGTGGTCCCACGACAGCGTTGTTATTCTCACGACGCCTTCAAAAGAGGCATTTTCACGGCTTCTTGATGAGCAGCGGCAACGTCATAGCTATTTTACAGCTTATATATATACGTGGTAAACATATGTATAAACCTAAAAATTGTTGACGCAATCAATTCCGTATATAGCGAAGCTTGTGGAAGCGTCGTAGTACTAATCAGTTAAACACACGATACTGGATTCTCTTAAGTTCCTAACATACCATTACTTTTAAATTGAATGAAAAAATGTGGATAGCCCTAAAAACCTTTGTTAGTGTCCACCTTTTCAACTATAAGTCCATAACATTGCAGTATATTCTTGCCTTTTAAAAGGGGAAGGGTCACCGAATAAACGTCAAAAAATAGACAAGAATGGCTTTCAAATATTCAACGATCCTATCCATGGTTCTATCGAACTTCATCCTTTGTTGATTGCGATCATCCATACACCACAGTTCCAACGTTTGAAAGATCTAAAACAGTTAAGCTTTTGTTACTGGATTTACCCCGGTGCTTCGCATAACAGGTCAGCCTTTTGTTGGTTATACTTCATTTCATCACGTTGATTTTATGTATTTAGGTAAGTCATTAATGCGGTCTGCCAACAATTTCTCTAATTTTTTTACAAATCTAGATTTGAGCATTCTCTTGGAACTGCCCATTTGTGTGGCAAACTGATCGACACCCTTCAAGAATTACACGCAGGAGAATATGAAATAACAGATAAAGAAGCCCTCTGTGTAAAAATTGCTGGTTTGTGTCATGATTTGGGCCATGGACCATTCTCTCATTTTTTTGATGGTGTGTATATTCCACATGTGAAACCAGAGTCCAAATGGACGCACGAGGAAGCATCATGTAAACTCTTTGAAACAATGCTCGAAGAGAATACTGTTGTTCGTGAAAAATTCAGATATTTTGGTTTGGACGGGGAGGAGTATAAAAAGTTAATTAAAGATTTAATCTTAGGTTAGTGTAGTTGTCTAATGAATGTAGATGTGTATTTATTAAGATTATCATTCAACGACCATTACACAGACCATTAATTAATCTTTTCACGTCTTTTCAAGGCAAGGATCCAGAGAAAGACGAAGTGACACGCATGTGTTCTAAAACAGATCCAAATAAACCAAAATGGTTTCTCTACGAAATCGTGTCGAATAAGCGCAATGGAATAGATTGCGATAAGTTCGACTACTTTGCCCGAGATTGCGCCAACGTCGGAGTCACGAGCTCCTTCGATTATCGAAGATATTTTCAAAACGTACGCATTTGTGAATTTGATGATCAACTGCAGATCTGCGTGCGAGATAAAGAAGTCTTCAACCTCTACGAGCTATTCCACACCCGATGGTCACTGCACCACCGCGTCTACAGACACAAAACCCAAGCCCCGATTCAAGACCTAGTGCTCAAAGCCTTTAAAGAAGTCGATGATGAATTGAAAATTTCTGAGGGAATTGATACGAGACGTTTTACAGTCTTGACAGATAGTTTATTTTACGATATTGTTGAAAGTGATCCGGTAAAATCTTCAGAAGAAATGAAGAAGGCTAAAGAGCTATTACAGCGCATACAAAAACGAGATTTGTATAAGTTTTGTGCTGAAACACAACCAGGAACGGAACAAGATTGCCCAGAGAAGGAAAAGGTTATCAAGCATTTGATCCGGATTTCTGCAGGAACTTTGACGGAAGAGCAGATCTTTGTGGACATTGTTAAGATAAATTTTGGAATGGGAAATAAAAATCCTGTCGACAATGTCGTTTTCTTTAACAAATCCAACGAAACGTTTAAATTTCGTAAGGAACAAGTGAGCCAAATGCTACCGCAGAATTTCCATGAGCGTTATGTGCGTGTATACGCGCAATCCCGCGAGGATTCTGAGTCAATTGAAAGAATTCAGAAGTGTTTCGAAAGGTTCTGTGAAATCAGAAATTATCCTAAGCCACGTGTTCCAGGGGTAACGTCATCGAATACCGTTTCAAGCAGTGATTCAACTAGCACTGGGTGATCAGGACTTGCTTAAAGTCTGCCTCTTGGTGGTATAAATGTGACCAACGACACCGCTAAATAGGAGAAAATGTAGTCCATAATTTTTCCTACACGAATCAAGGCTGCGATTTGCCATATTTATTCCATTAAAAGACAGACTTAGAGCACAGTCTACGGTTGATCGTGAGGGTGCTTGTAATAACTGATTCATCATAATTGTTTTCTTCTAATTATTCAAACTTTTACTAGACATGCGGGAACAATAATTTTAGCGTAGGTTCCTGATAATCGATAGCATAGCTTGTATAGTTAGGTTCCATTATTGTGGTGTATATGTTATTTATAGAGGCATGCAAATATAGTGTCAATTAAGTCTATTGACTATTGCTAGAGCATGGAAATTTCGACTACTGGAATGCCACTGTGGAAAACAATCATGGACTGTTTGATTTATTAACTATTTAACTATTGATTTGATTGGTTGAAGGTCACGTGGGGAAGACACGCTACTTCCCGACGTGCCCAGGAAAGATTTATTTAATTGGGGTTTGGTTGTTAGTTGTCACCAGATAATATGCATATGTAATTTCAATTCAATTATTATAATTATTAATTACAATCACAATATATGATTATAATTATAAGTAAATCACATTAAAATAAAATTTCTGTTCTAGATAAAATGTAGAAACTTTGATGGCTGAAAAGTTGAAAAATTGATGTTAGAATATGTCATTTTTTTGGCAGAAATGTCGTTGCATAGTGGTTAGGACGCTGCATTGCTGGGCAACAGATTCGATTTCTCGCCGTTTCCGCACAGAAAAAAATTCTATCTGTTGTCCTCACCTACTTATATGGTCCATATCCTGTATGCTCTATCTTTGTTTGTAAATAGCCAATCCGTATCGATAGAATACTACCTATGTTGTGTGATATTTCTGTCGAATATATTTCACACTGTGAATGAAGACGTTAAAACACGAAACTTGTTTAGAATTAAAAATTCACGTCACGGCTGCACGACCAGATCACGAAAGGTCGCCTCGCCCGCGCTGGCAGAGTTGTTGTGATGCAAAGCAGCCGTTCATGTTTGGGGAAGATTGTTCTATACAGAAAAATCTCTAATCTCTATACCACACACACGGCCTTGTTTGGTACAACATCTATATGTCCGTTATCAAGAGTCGTTCTATTGTATTTCTTGACAGCGTTTTTATAACCGAATTTTTTTATACTTGTGAATAGCAAAATTAACGGCCTGTTGAAAGACAATATTTTTACGCTAAATAATAATCAAATATTGAACGAGGTCGAGGAAAATATCGTGATTTATCGGTGGCGAGCAGATAATTGATCTGCGATTCACTTATCTTATATTATTTTTGAGTAACTCATTCTTCGAGTAACTCATTCTCCGAGTAACTCATTCTCCGAAAGTTCAGCAAAGTATGTCGCCATTATTGTTTACAAAATTGAAGTCAATGCTCATGCTCATTATTTTCACGCAGTTATTTGCAGGTAAATTAACCAATCAAAATTGAGAAAACAGTAAAGTGAATGACAACAGCAGATACATATAATTGTAAAATTATAGCGAGAATTATTATAACGGCCAGTCTGTTCGCCGCCGCAATCTGACCTTTGGCTGGTCGCTTTACTCTCTTTGTACGGAAATGCTAATGAAAACTGTTTCAATAAACCGGAGCAATTCAAACTATCACAGCACGACATTGCTTGTTGTGGATTGACGTAAACTAAAGGCTAAACATTTATCCTTCAGGGAAGTGTCTTTTCCTGCACTGCAGGGATATAAGCGTATGTTCCGTCAATCAGGAACTGCATTACGAACATGCTCACAGCGAGCTTCACCCCTGTCAGACAAAACCTCAACGAGTTTCACCCCTCTCAGACAAAACCTTAGCGAGTTTCACGTGACCTTGCCAAACAAAACCCAAGACAATAATACATCTCTTGCTGATTCAACTGCCTTGAGTTTCGATTTATAACCTTTAGGCGTTGTTATATGTGTTGTTTCACTCCGCACCAAGAATTCTGTGTGAGTTTTTAGTTTCTTTCGGCATCATTTTCTCGGTTTATAGTGAAAGTGGGTTAGTTTAGTATATCAGTCTAAGAGAAACTCTACCCCGCTGTAATGAGTTGGAGTGCTTATTGCATTTCGATATTTTGAACGGCGATTGCAAACCAGTATTTTCTGTTTCAATACTGGCATAAACATTCTTCAGCAACAGTTTTCCTTCAATCTCGCGAAGTAAGAACAGTCATTGGTAAGAACCGCCATTTCAAATGACGTAATGTAACATGTTAGGCTATGACCTCCATGACATTTTACCGGTATGTCGTGAGAGCGGTTTAGATTTTGTATACATTGAAGGGCTAATAAGATTTTCATATCAGGGGAGAGACAAATGCCTTGATGTCCATTGACTTTAAATGTTAAGTCAAAGAATCTACATTCTGGAACTAAATCATGACGGACATGCTATACTGTGCAACAAATAAATGTAAGGTATTTGCCACTGACCATACTTCGTAGCGGCAAACGAATGTGGTTATCCATTAAATTGCAGGCCAGATTAGCCTAGCTCTTGCTATAGGCAAAACCACAGCTATCTTAAACTTGTTTCAACTGCGTCAATGAATACCATGAAATCTCAGTCATATTTGCTTTTTACATGCCGCAGCAATTGACCCAATTAACCAGAAGCTAATAGAAACAAACAAACACCAAGAATGAGGTAAACAAACTTCAAATTTGGACTTTAACCCTGTCCGGCGCCCACTCACTGGGCAACTGGCATTACCCGGCACACGCCTTTATCATTCCAGAATTTGACAATTACGATAAACAAATAATAGAGACCATACCAACATCGGAAATTTAGCAGCAAAAGATGAAAACATCAGATTATACGTGTCGGTTAATTCTATTATTTTAGGTTTTACTGTTTCAATTTTAGCCCCACGTGTTGAGTATACTTAATGTTGCCTTTTCAAGCGAGATTTCAAGTCGATAAGATTGATTTACAATTACCGATTTTCTCGTTACTCAAATAGGAATTGCTGAAAAAGTATAGTTAGATTAGGATTTAGATCAATTTGTTGAAGTGTAGTTACTAGTCTGCGTCTCTGACCAATTACTGAAATATTATACAAAATTTTTGTCGATGTTTTTGGATTGATAAAAGATTTTCATCATCTAGCTTACACAGATAGCTAATAAACGTTGAATCATCATCACAAGCCGCTTACCCCACGTTTTATGTGGGATGTAGATGACGTCATAGGAATGCCATTCGTAGTGTAAGCCCCACCCAACAGGAATGAGAATATGACGCTATTACGCATGCTCAGAGCGTGGTATATAAAACACTCACTAAATGTGAGGTAATGTCAATACACAACAAAAGGTTTTCTGCGTTTTGACGAGAAATATAGCGAAGAATGAGCTCGAAAAAACAAGGAAACTTACAGAGGATGTTCACACAACCAGATTTATCAAAGATTGAACTAAAATCAAAGGTTTGCTATTTAAGAATGTCGGATATTAAAGCCTTCGTCTGAAGCGGTATCGAATACTAATTTGAATTGAATGCTACTTTTCTATAGTTCGATGCAGAGTTTCGACGTGTATCGATCGAGCGTTCGCAATATACCGAATTTTCCGACTTTTACACCTTCGTGGAGCGACTACATCACTTGGAAAAAATACCCTTCACACTGTGGTACACGGATCCTGATCGCGAGCTACTGCCTATTAACAATAACAATAACCTTGGCGCAGCACTACAACATGCCAACCAAAGGCTACGGCTTGTATTACAACGACAAGGTGCGTAGAATGTTGTCTACTGCTTGCTTTATTATGAAATTTCTACGTTTCCTCGACAAAATGCCCTTATGTTAGACCTATATCCTTCAATACCGATTGCTTCCAGACACTAATTTGTATTGTATGCATTGATAAAGAGATATATTAGATAAATCCATTAGATCCACGAAGTATTAAATTGTCCATTTTCCTAAATAAGAATCTCAATTTGTTACTTTTAAAGCTGAATTGCGACTTTTATCGTATTCGCGGAGTTGCGTATTTGAAGAATTTGACATATTTTGTCCGGTTGCAATGGCCTAACACTAAAATCGAAGTAGCCAATTTTGGCCTGCAGCCAATTTATTGCTGTGTCGCATTGCACAAGTTTCGTTAAATTATATTGATTAAGTATATTAAATGTTGCCATCTTTGGCCATTAATTGGCCCAGAGGATTGTGGTTGATCCTGTCCTGATTCCGTTTGGCTCATTTTTTATCGAGTACAAATTTTTTCTTAATTATTTATACTGAGGTGTGCCACTTACATTCTAGGGCCTGACACACTACAGCAGTTATGATGTGAAAATTAAATTTACGTGAATTGTAGTCCCGACCATTGTAGAAAATGTGTATAATGCGATATGTTTAAGAAAAAGCTTAGATGTGTGTCTAATATTGCATGACATTGTGTAAAATAAACACACAAAAATCTTTTTGACAGCCTATTTTGACAGCCTATTTTATATTTTAAAAGCCTTTAAAAGCCTACTTTGTTACAAGGACTTATTTGATAGCATTTTTTTGTTAAATTAGGGCTATCTACATGTTTTAGATATTTTATATAAAGCACATCTACAAAATACAAATACTCTTAGTTTGAAAGAATGACATTAATTGCTTAAAAAGTACTGATTGAAATGATCATTATTCATTAAGTTGTTGATTTTTTCTTCAGGTGAAAGCTATGATAATGATAACACCTATGTTCCACCAGTTGTTGGCTCGCCAAAGAAACGAAATATCCTCTCAAATGTAACAAATGTTGTAGTTAACAGGCCGAAACTGGCGCACAGGTTGGCCATTAGCACACCTTCAGATTTTAGACGGGTTTCTGCAATCGTTGATGTTGACATCGTCCCTGAAACACATCGGCGAGTTCGGCTTTTAAAACACAACAGTGATAAGCCTCTGGGTTTCTACATCCGAGATGGCACAAGCCTGCGCGTTACCCCAACTGGAATGGAAAAAGTTCCAGGAATTTTTATATCACGACTAGTCCCTGGAGGTTTGGCCGAGAGTACTGGATTGTTAGCAGTTAATGATGAAGTTCTAGAAGTTAATGGTATTGAAGTTTCTGGAAAAACACTGGATCAAGTTACAGATATGATGATTGCAAACAGCCACAATCTCATTATAACTGTAAAACCAGTCAGTCAACCAGTAGCTACACCTCGATCAATGAGCCAAGGACGGATGGGTTATAAAGATATGAATATGGTTAAATCGAATCCAGATATATCAAGAACAAGATTAACTGACAACAGAACATTTTCAACACCAAACCTACCAATGTCACTTCAACTTGATGGGACGGACACTTACTCTAGAAAACCAAAGAGACCGACCAGCGTGGGAACTCCAAGCGGGATGTTTATCGGTAGTGGTAATGGGTTAATTAACCCAGCTTGTGAAATGTTTGATGACAGCGGGGATGAGGGAGAGGGGGGGTGGTAATGAGGATGGAATTCTGTCCATTTAGGTGATTATGTATGTTTGGTGCAGCCTGGATGGGCTGGTAATTTATATTATTGATTAGATCCAGGATGCTTGTATCACATCAAGGTGAAGTCTCATGGCAAAACTGTATAAGTTAAAAGAACAAAAAATAATTTTGAAAATTCATTGGAACCATATACTGAGACTAGACCAAGAATCCTGAGCAACTTGTGACAATTTATCACAGTTCCATTGTGATAATAATTGTACATATACTATATATGTAAATAAAATATAGCACATTTTTTTAAGAATAACCTTTTAGTAGACTATCTGCCAAACAATTCATAACCAAACTGATGGTCAGCCAATATATGTGAGGGTAACATGGTCTTATGTGACCGATCCTTGCAAAAACAAGCTAGCTTTTGTTGGAAATAATCTGAAAAGAAAGTAGGCTAAATATTACCCAGTCAATTTTCTTTTGCATGTGCGCAAATAATAACGAACATAAACGCTAGGGCATGCTGTGCATGTCTTAGGAGTCAAACTTTACATTTTTACCATCAGAATTTTTAACAGTTTATTAGGGCACACCGTAGCCTTGGACTCTCTGCGTTGCGTTTATTTTCTAGAACTATTACTATAAACTAGAGTACAATGTAGAATTATTTTGCAAGAAAGTATAGGATTACGGGTAGTCGCAAGTTTCTATAGATATGCTAGTTATCTTAGGAATATATTTGTATTTATGATCAATTAGCGATTAAAATTGGGAAATTTTTAAAACCAAAACCTTGTGTGCTGTGTTTTGATGTTTATGCAAAGTCGAGAGACCTAAAAGATATGAACTATCGCGAAAATATTTCCCATTCTACCCTTCCTGCACAGAAGATTCGTGAAATCAGTTCACCAAAACTTTGAAAAAACAATATTTAGTAATTGACAATAAGTATTTTGTGGGAACGTTTTACTCTTATATGTCGTCAGGAAACTAGACTAGGCCCAGTAAATAGTCAAGGAAACACTTAGTCCATAAATTTCGAAGAAAGTAGTCTTTCAGAACTTAATTTTAGAAGCACTTGGAATCATAAATATCATTTTCGACAAAGTCCTCTTTAATATAGAAACGGAGAGGCCATGAAAGACATCGGTAATCTTTATCTCTCCCACGATTTTTTAAAGAATTTAACATAAATGGGAAAAAAAGGATTGCAGTTCCTATAATAGTTCCCTGTGGGTTGAGAGCTTCACGCAAAAAAAACGCGTAAATGAAGTATCATCCGGATATAAGGAACCCAAATGGTCGTTCAAGATGTACAATTTCGCATTTCGGAATAAAATGCCCAAGCTACCCATTTTGGGTCGAACCTGGCATTTCATCGAGTTTCCGATTGTACCTGCACTTATACTAGGATTCTCGATTCCCATATTTGGATTTCGGTTTCCCATTTCTTTGATTTCGGATTCCAATATTTGGATTCCGGATGCCTATCTCAGGATTCCGGATTCCCATAGTTGGATTTCGGCTTCCCTCTTCTTTGATTTCGGATTCCTATCTCAGGATTCCGGATTCCCATAGTTGGATTTCGGCTTTTCTTCTTTCGATTTCGGATTCCATTATTGGAATCCTGATTCTCTCACTAGGATTCCGGATTTCCATAGTTGGACTCCGTCTTCCTTTCCTTGGAATTCGGATTCCTATGCTAGGACTCCGGATTCCCTTTCGTGGATTTCGGCTTCTCCCTGGATCATACCTGGGATCCAGACTGCCTCCCTTGAATTCGGATTCCTATACCAGGACTCCGAATTCTCCTTTTTGGATTTTGGCTTATTTTGCTTGGAGTTTGGATTCCTATACCTGGAATCTGGATTCCACATCACACAATATACAGAATAAGTATTAAACAAGCCCATCAAAAAATCCCTACATCCATAGAAAAAAAGTGACATCAACGCCCAGTAGTTATCATGCCCAGATGACTAAATCGCTTACAGTTTTAAGGTTAAAATTTATATCAAAAATTTGTTTGATTTTCTCATATTCATCACTTGTAAGCAATATAAGTATCTCCTACGAAGCTGGTCTTCGGTGAACTTAACCATATTGTATGTAGTTGACTAGTTGAGGCAGATAAAGCAATAATTGTTTATGTCGTGTCTTTATGTCGAACTTTTAACCTTGTTTGAAATGGCTGTGAAGTTGTCTCGCAGCGCAGGTGGTAAAATCGGATTTTGTGTTCTAATCTAAACGATCCCCAGCAAACTTTAAAGTGGGAGTCAAGTCCGTATGTAAACAAAGGTTTGTTTACTTTTTGAACTTCTGTACCATTTAACGCGCTTTCTAATACACTCGACTGGGCGTGGCACTGGTACCATGGATACCCATGCACAATTTTATCTGTGCTCAGACTGGAACTAGCGAATTATCATAAATTAACCGTGCCGCGCCAATTAATTGAGTGAAGAGTAAACGGAGCTTTAGGTTCGCCATATGCTTCAAGAACATGAGGTAGATTCTATGTATGAAAAGATGAAAACTTGGAAAATTTGGTCGATTTTTACATCAGAGGACCTACAATCCTGGTCAAAACATTGACGACACCCAGGGGTAATTGAAGTACAGTCTGTAGTCGCAGATTTATTTCAAAATCCTCCCCCCCCCTTCCCCCACAAATAAATGTTGGGTGATGTGTCAAAACTTATTTATTTACTTATGGAAACTTATTCCAACATTTAGCATAGATTCAACATTGACGAGTGGGGGGGGGGGAAACAGCACAGAAATGTTTATCTTTTGCGTAAAAAACTACAAATCATTCAGAGGGAATTCGATGGTTTTTGCCAGGATTGTTGCTCGCATTGTTATGGCAGAAATGGTGCACGAAACAAACTTGACTGCCACTTTAAGTTCGTGGAAAAAAACCCCGGATTATCTTGCGTGAATTGTCATTTAATACATCTCTCTTAAATAAAATGTGCCAGTGCAGCCGTTTGGGGCAGTGTCTGTGCTCTAATAACATATTTATATGTACATTCAGCAAAAACAACGCGAGTGTTGTTTGCAGTGAGTTAATACCTAATACTAATTTATCTATTGACACTATTTTCACAAAACGTACTATATCATCTTCTATGCAACTGTGCCTATAGACCAACTACATAAGATATCTTATTATAACATGGTACGAATCATACAGCAATATACATGACCATTTTTAAAGCCAAAACCTAATATTGCTTTACAACGCTAAAAGTGTTGAGACTATCGTCACTACAGTCATAATTAGAGGTAAAATTTTAGGAAATTTAGGTTCCACTACAGTTTTATTAGAATTGAAGAAGGGATAGGCAAGATGAGAATTTCCTCACGGCCTTTATAATGTCTTCATAAACACTAATTATACGGTGTAAAACAATATTCAATTTTTTGTCACAAGTACGTTAAACACACAGCGATTTTTCGGATGGATCTCTCTTGATGTTATCTTGCAAGTCTATGGAATGTCTGTTGTGTAAGATTTTGTCATTTTAGCATTGCACCTAACTATTTCAAATGTCATTATTCTTTAACATCAATTTGGGATTGACCCGAGAAATCGTGAGTGTGTGAACGTATCCTTTAAGGCTTCTGTCTACAATCTACACAGTCATGCATGGACCTCAAAACTATATTTTCTTCTTTGTCTTATAGATTTCTTTAACACATGTGACAGGCTAGTTCTGTTAACGTCTTCTGTCTGAAGACTCCACAGGTAGCATATCTAGAAAAGCAAATAAAAAAAGTACAATTAAGTATAAAGTTATTTTGGTATACGGTAGAAGCAGTAGCAATATTCTATCCTAAATTCCTAATGTTGAGGAAAGAAATGAGATACATTCTTTGCAAATTCACCATCAGATATTTTGTACGACAATTCCTAGTTCTCACAACGTGTAAATTCAACGGGATAACAACTTACTTAATTCATCATTTTTGTCTCTAGTTAAACGGAGGATTGTAAAGTGATATATTACATCCGCGTTCTCGTCGAACTGATGTTGATGGCCGTCAGCACCTGTACGAGGAATAAAAATATTAATGGTAAACAGAGGTTGCCAAACACTACGACTATAATACATAATCTAATTCAATTTGTATCAAGTGTAAGCCGGATCCTAGAGCATTTGTCTTACCTACGAAGTGCTTTCCTTTTAGTCTATCAACAATATTCTTTCCCGTCGGCATTTTACCATCTTGCCTTACTTCATGTAAGGCTTTAGCAAACTGCATCACGGCATCGTATAAGTACGCCCCTTTGGCAGGAATCTAAATGCATAAGCCAGAAATCTTAATATGAATTGCTATTATTCCATTTTGAACTTATATCCACCGTTTAAGCTGAGCGCCGTTGGAAAAACCGGCCCAAGGCTGTAGAGTTACCTGAGGCGTGCAATCATGAAGTGTGCATTCATCTCCTTTGATGCAACCCTATGTTTGTCACTGAGATACTTTCATGGACTTTATTCCAGCAATATAACACTGATTTGTACTAAAAAAGGCTTTTATTTGCACCACTACTATCAAGTAGCAAATTCTATAATTGTGTTGTCCAACTATATATTGCATGACTATTTAATATAGATCAAAGCGATATATTTCCCACGCATTCGGTCGTGTGATTGCCGCGTAGGGATGCAAAATATTACATATTTTTGATTGACTCACAAAATTCATGGCACCAAACGCTACCGACTCACCTTCGCGGTGGATCTATTGAAAATGCACGATCCTTTAAGTTTTAAACATCCTTGGTAAGCTCGGCTAAACCAGGGATATTCGGAAGACTTCTTTTTCAATTCCTCTTCAAAAGCTTTATGCTGATCTGTTTCCATATCGGGAACATTGGCGACAATCGAAAGCTTTTCAAATGCTCTTTTGGTCACGTTTGTTCTCTCTTTAGTAGTTTTCACAAAATGACTAAAAAACCATTTGAATGGATGCTGAATGTTAACCTTTATCTCCACCTTGCCAGAAGGTGCAGTGATGAAGTGATGCTTCGAGTACGAGTCGGACGGATTCTTTTCAGCATATGCTTGCATATAATACATGATCTCTCTGGCTATACCAAAGTCGGTCGCCAATATTGTTGCTAAAAATATAAGAGAAACACAAAAAATCAATGCGTGCAAACGCCAATTTCGGTTTCCCAAACGCCTATCTCGGTTTCTGAATTACCAAAATTTGGTGATGGAATAAACTAGATAAACATGATTTGTTAAAGAAGGTTGGACTCAAGAACTGTTGCATGCTTGGCCCTGACCCAATCACCGAGTTGTAATAGTTCTTGCCAGTTCAATATCAAAGCCTGCCTTCTAATTTTTGCGTCTGTAAACTCCACAGTGTATTCGAAAGTCTATATGGGTTTTATGACATCGACAGCAGTACGACATCTTTGTGAAGTTCTGGATGTTGTTTAGTGAGAATGCCGAATGGAAGATGAATGTGTATAGTCGCCATGAAAAAACTTTAGGTATACTGGTCAAAATTTCATACAAACATACCTTGAGACCCAGAAGGAATAGAATTGAACTTCCCAGGAACGGCCCCCATGGCAAATTCAAACATGGTGACCTTTACAGTGTCTGCGATTTCCACACCATTGCGTCTCAAAAGGCGCGCTACAAATTTCTTGAACGTCATCCATTTCTTGCTTCCTTGATAAACGATTTTAACTCGTTCCAGGCCTCTCGCCTTCAAAAAGGAGAGGATGGGGAACGCGGCCTTGCTGTGTTGCGGGTTGGTACGAGCAAAGTTTGGATACAACTTTTTGTTTGAGACATGAGTATCTTGACAATCCTATAGAGGGAGATAGCGGACTGGATCAGTATTGATTTACGCGAATGAAACAAGCATATAACATTAAAATTCGTACAAAAAATAAAGATTAAAAGTTACATAATGCGCTCTAAAATATAGTTCGCGAGCAAGCGTGTTTAGAATATGCCACTTTCTCATGATGCTAGACGTTTTCAATTTCGAAGAATTTTGAAACCTTCAAACACTTTTTAAAGATTCTACATTAAAAGAGATCTATTTGTAGTTGTAGACAAAAAGAACAATTCCAAAATTAACTCCTAGGGGACATAAACAACTTATTTCACCACGATTCATTCTTAGAACAAGCTGGATCAAGTTTAGTTTGGGACTTTGGCAATCAGATTAGTTTAGTCTCATAAACGACATATTCCTTCATCGACAATGTACAATACGTCAGCAATTTTGGCAAGAGATTGGAAAGATCCGATCAAAAATGTTTAAGCGTTTTTTGAAATTGCTCTCCTATACTTCAACGTCTCGTTATTATGTAACAAAAATGAGGAAAATCTCTCTTTTTGCTTCTCTTAATAACGTCGACGTCACAAGTAGCTACATTTCATTGTCGCGTTGCGTGCATGAACGGTAATTTCCATGAGCTTTTCGGGCGATTTTATAAGAAGCAATTAAGTGAATTCGAAGTGGTTCGTAAGGCCAGTGGAGTTCAGCAACGTGGAGCAAATGGCAGAAAAGACAAAATATGTATCGTACCCGGCATGCAGTTTGCTACGCAGATGCTAAAGACTTTGTCTAAGGCAATGTTAAACAATTCCTATACACAAAAAATTTCGTTGAAAAACGTAGTCACTTAAATCAGGCGCCAATCAGCCAATATCGTGATTGAGTTTCTCTCATGAATTACATATTCAATTAATTAAGAAACGGTAGTATATTCACCATGATAAGTTTCAAAATTTTCTATCACTTATAAATGCTGGTAAACATCAGTATATCTATGAATATATCTCTGACTATCGAAGTGGAAAGAATTTACTGGTGACGTTTGTAACTTGTCCAAAATTGTAATCACGAGAGTTCTTAAAAAATACATGTGCGTCAGTGTTACGTGTGTAAGTCGAGAAAATATACTATTAGTGACTAGATAATCCGTTTATGAAGTATTAGGTACTTTACAAAACCATCACTCAAGCTCGATAAAATATTTGTTAATTAGAAATTATGCATATACTTATGGTGATTTCAAGTTTCTCAAGTCGTTTAGTGTCATTTGTTTCCTGTACCGATGTAGGTTTTGATATTTCGAACACATGCTCTACAAAAACGAATTGCGATTACATGAAGAAGTTTATATATGGGACATTGCACGGGTAACATACATATGCAAGCATATGCCATGCATGTGGCGTTTCCACAAGGGCATTGGCCTTTTAACCTTACCAGAATGTATTAAAATAAACTAGTTGATTAAATACACTATTTGTGCAGTTTTTGTTTAACTGAAAGCGCTTAATACAGGAAATTTCACACGAATGACGTCAATAAACGCATATTAAAATGGACGTCAAGTTTTCAGTCTCAGATGAAAATATTCCTTCACAATGCTTTATATGCGGTGCTGAAGCTCTTACGAATTTAGGCGGCTTGCTTGTGCCACTGTGTCAAAGCGATACCGTATTCAACACTATAAAAACACTCGGGCAAAAGAGCCTAAGCATCGTGATCAAGACACGTTTGCTAAATTTTACTCGGCCGACTGGAATCGCGTCGTATATGCATCGGCTTTAGGGTTGAAAGTTCTGCTTGAGTTCAGATTGGACAGAGGTAAGAGTATAGTTAAAGCAATCGCTTTGCCAAGAATACAAATGATTGGCAATGATACAGCTAATTCAATTAAGATTGTCTTTCTATATATAAAACATCTAACCTTAAAGTTAAACTCGGAGCTCGCAAGGGGCAATGCGCTCTTACTAGTTCGGATACTCGTAAATTCGTAAACTTTCAAGACAATATCGGAGGCCGGCAGACTGTCAGAAACCGTACACCTGCTAAAGGCAATTTTCTGATTTTGAGGCTTAGTAGATGGTAACCCAAAAAAGGCATCAATTAGGGGTTTTGAAAGGACACTTAAAATGTATCAGTGGTATCTTTCGTCATGTCATCGTGATGGAGAAATTATAAAGGGTTTACAGTAGCAATTATGGGGAATCCGGAAGACACGTTGTAGACTTGAAGTTTGGACTTGAAGAGAGAGTAGAAAAAACGAAGAAAACTTCAATCTTCACTTCAACGTTCCCGATAGTGAAACAATTTCCGATATGAAAGTTATCAGAGGCAGGTCAGAGGCAGGACAGAGACTGATAAACAAATGCCTATTTAAGGCATCGCCATCTAAGCGACTGAGTGATTATGAGTCCATGCATACAGGCGAAATGTCGACTTCCTTAGGGATAGATAGATGCGCTACGTTTTGATAAACTATTTTAAGGGATTTTTACCCAAATCGACACAATCATAGCAGGTATTTGTAAATATAAATGAAATACTTGAAAAAACACACTCGTCAATACTAGACCCGCGAGCAGGCGCAGTGGCGAAAAGCAAGCCCTAGGAGGGTTATGGCGACCATGCGACCATGTTCCTTTTTTATATAAAGCAGAAGTTGTTCCACCAAAAACTCTTGCTTCAAAACATTTTCGTCTGCGGGGAAAGCTTGCAGGAAAACCAACAAACTTTAGCTTTAGCTTTTAGCTTAAACTCAAGGCTATAATCTTCATCGATAAACATGCATGCTCTAGCGCATGAATTTGATCGACAGCTGAAGTCTTAAGCCCAAGGGGTAGAGTTTAAATTGCGTGATGGATATGAACTGGGAGAAAAACAAAACAACAAATATCGCTGTTTATACGTTTAAGGACAAAATAATTAGAAAATCAGTCTTTTTTTAGTACTCACATATGAAACGACGGCTAAATCACGTCGTTTTGCTACTCTGGCAGCTTTTCTTCCATAGCAGCTTGGTCCGATGAAGCCAACGACCCCTTGTTTGATCTGCCAGTGCTGTTGCGCTACCATTTTACTTTGGTTACACGCCGTGTTATTCCATATGAAACTGAGTTTCGCGTTAGGCAATGTTGTGGGATCGCTGTTGACTTTCTCCACTGCCAGGCTAACCGCCGAAGCGTAATGATCGGCCGCCGGGAAATCCCAGTTGGCATCGAACGTGTACGGTAGCAATACGCCCAATTTGAACTCTTCCAACGAGTTTGCAGATGCGAACGCAAGAATAAGAGGGAAAACGACGATGTGCATTTTGCTGGCCATTTTTTTTCGACGATTACAAAGCTCTGCGTTGCTATGACACGCTATTTCCTATTGAGTTAAAATTGTGGCTGATCAACGGCAATCTTTAAAGATGATGTACGTAAACTCGTTCTAAAAAAGGCAAAACAGATGGTTAAATAGACTTATCCCAGGTGTGCGACTTTGAAAGTAATTGGTTTAGCAATAATAATATTGAACTACACATTTATCTTCTTAAAACTACTTGTAAGCTGCCCTGACCCAAATCAAAATCACACGACCAAGAGAATGGTGTCTTTCAACAATAATGATCGCGCTCGACAGTGCTAATCGAAGTGGTGTGACACAATCGCTGACCCATCAAGAAAGTTCCCTGTGACAACACGAGAATTCATCCAGCGATCGTTCCGCAGCCGATCTGCAGACGTCTCTTCGCGAAGGGTTACCTTTATAGGCCGACGCGCTATGCATGCAGGAGGTCTAAACCAGCCGATTCTCTAAGAACTGATTATGTTAATTGTCTATTTACACAGTTGTAAGGCTAAGTTACTAAACGACATCGTACACGGAAACCCCTGGTGGGAGGCGACGCACGGGACACGGCTAAATATGCTGTAAAGGGTAAACTCGAAAAAGTACATTAGAAGTTAAAACTATAAATCGTGCAATGCTCGCAGAAATGGCAAAGGTTTGCCTTCGAAATGCGTGAATAAACGTTTCCCAACATGTTCGTCTAATTGAAAAAAATGTTTCATGAAATACCACAGTCGCCAAAATTTCCAACACTGGTCAGCGCTATGCATAAATTGTAGTAGAGAATGGGGAGATAGTATCTTCACTTATCTCAGCTACATCTGCCAAGCGGAGCTAGAGCCAATATTTGACTAATCAATTGACGTTGTCTCCGTACTACACCCATATGTAATACTTGCAACATTGACCTGTCTCGATTGGAATCACTTTTTCGCGTAGATTTTTTTAGCCCTTTAGCGTCATTTTTAAAAGAAATCACGAGAGTTTTAAAAGAAAATTCAACAACCGATTAGAGACAATTTAAGTGATTGGATGTTGCACTTGAATATTCCCGTTTTGTTGAAAAAGAGGCCTCCAAATACATGCTATGAACAGCATCGGTTATTGAAAGGTATTAGTCATATAGAAGCCCGAACATGGTAACCAAATGATATTTCACTATGAAAATTCAGCATAGAGCTATATAGTTATTATAATATCAGACTACTAGTAGCAGTATATAGCAAAATGCTACAATTCCTGTTCAATTGACATGTCTGATGTCCAAGTGTCGCCTCTTCAAATATCTGACTATATGCAAGGCCTGTCAAAAATGTACCAAATTATAGTATGCAACAATGTTTCGCTTAAATTTCGCTCCGTGATTTACCTTTTTGCACACCAAAGCTAATCGATATCAATTCGCCTTCTGCATCTGTGACTGTGTAATGAACGTTCTGAAAGAGCTTAGGAATATATACCCGCGCAGCGAGTGCTCGTGGATGGACACGAGGACGCGACGTGATTGGTCACATAAGCGTCAAGTGGCCTCACTTATGTATCATGAAATCAGCATATCCCTATAAGATATCAATTGATCTTAGCCGACCAAATGTTTGTATGTGCTAGCAAATCGACACTTGAGAGGAAAGATGCCAAAAGCCAGTTTTTCCAAAAACAATAGCAAGCGATTCGTACGTGCGAAGCCACCAAGATCTCGATTATAGCGTTGCGGTTTTAAGAATGAAATCATCCTTCGGGAGCGACTCAATTTTACGCGTTTCGGCTCTTGTCATCAAGAGGACTCGCCGAGTCGCATTTTCCGCAGGCTCGTTTTGCAATGAACTTGCGCAAATCACATCAAGAGCTCTTTGTTTTACGTAACTCAGAAGCACAAGTTGGTTTTGCATTTTGAGAGCTAAAATCGCAAGTGCTTTGTATAGAATTATGTTTGTTTTGGACAGAGTCCGGAAACTCTTGAAGTTCTAACGTAACTGTGACGTCAATGTAATATCATAAACTTTGGTCTGTAGCACAGCAGTTTGCTGTAAAAAAACCCACTAAATCTACAAGAAGCCTTGAAATTACACTAATACCCTCGCGAAAATGTGTTCACCGAAATATGTGACATTTCTTTGCCCCAAAATAGACTTAGCGCCACTTGTTTTTCCTCGTGTAGGAGGTCGTGCGTCATTGGCGAGATAGCGTCCAAATTTTTGTTTTCTTGACAAATTTGCTTTAAATGAAACTTATTTATAACGTGCTGACTTGGGAGTTGGATAAACATAAACGTTCATTCCACGAATAGCGATGTTGTGGAACGAATTTGGAGTAGATGCGCACGTGTTCTTTGAAATCATGATCCCCCTAATTGAACAAGCACAAAGCCCGCGACCTAAATTTTTGTCGCGTGATTGAGAAGTCAATGGTGTTGGGCGCTGTTTTCTATATTGAGCAATTGTCCACGATTTTCATCGATTAGGAGTTATAGTGTGCTGTTATCTGTTTTGATAGAAGAATTACATATGCTCCCTGATAGCATTAAATACACATCAGCTTATCAACAAGTAAAGTCTTGAAACGGATAACGAATATTCCAATCGATAGCAACGCTATTCCAATTCAACTCAGACATCTCTCAAAATCAATAAGCCATGGAAACCGCCAAACGAACCTATTGCATGTTTTGAATTCTTATATTCGCAAGAAGAAACAGCTAGATTAATCACTTTTGACAGATTCCAGCAAGAATTTATAAAATGGAATATAGCCACTTGTCGTCTACACATGCCTTGTATTATTTTCAATTGCGTCCAAGACTTTTTTTACACCTATCTATTTCCCCTTTTTTATATATTTTTTTCTTATAAATTATGTATGCCATCATTTTAAAGTCTCGATGAAAACGAACTGCTGTCAGCCAAGCAGTTAAATGAATGTTCTGCGGTATGTAACCCGTTATGTTTAACTGTGAGGTGCATGGATAGGCTTGAAAAAAGTGCAAAACTATATACATTTATTACTGAATAGCCTACGTAAATTAGTTTGTAGGTACACCACGTAAGTATTTAATACCGCAAAGCTTTCGGTCCGTTAACCCGGGCCTTATACTTATATTTTATGACACCGTGCAAACTTACACGAATATTATACATTTATCACTGAAGAAAACAAAAGTTTATCGACATCAATACATCAATATGTTTACAACTACACACACAGCATATCAGATTTAAGTTCACTCGTTCACTTGGGCTTCGTACAACCAGCTCCATAAACAAAAACACAGGAAATGCTTTGCAAATATTTTTGAACTTAAATAGAAAGAGATGAGTTGAAGTTTAAACCATTTGTATATGGCATGAAAAATGGCTGAAATTATGTCTAAAAGCTTAGTGTCCCTACTATATCTGTTTATATTGAGACATCCAGCATTTAAGGTGTTGCAAGTCCCGTTTCCTAGTAAAATACAGAAGTGAAGAAAGAACTAGCTATATCCGTTATTTATGTCCATCAGTAAAGGAGAATGGAATAATCAATAAAAATAATCCATATCTCGGCGCAAAAATCAAAACAGGCCAAGATTTTGCATGTGATCTGCATGTAAACCAGCTATTAAATGATGTATAAGGTCTTGCGATATAGGGTGTTACTGGAATATGAATATACGTTCCTCAATTTCATGGACCAAAAGTGTTAAAGGGTTAAGAACTTAAGTGGAATTCTTCTAACTTTCCATTGTATGCATTCATTACTTGACCTTGGAAAATCTTATATATACTTATCAGTAGTATCAACATTGCACAGCCTGGAGAAATTTGATGTTCCGCGATAAATTAAAACAAGCAATAACATGTCATATATATGTAGTACTTGGCGTCAGTATACACTCCTAACTATGCTACAAACACTTTAAAAGACACTTGGACACTTGGAGTCGTGGACAGATTACAATTTTTATGCACGACAAATGGGATACAACTAAAGTTATTTACACTTTCTCTTCTGATAGCTACGCAAAACCGTATTTGTTGCGACATGGTTGAACCCGTATAATTGGACAGTCATGCATGCATTTACGCTAACACCTATATATATATACATACATATACATGTATTACTTACACCTATGTATGTATCACTCACTATATATAGCCCAAGGGAATTTATTAACTGAAGATGCAACGGATAGCTGGCATTTTTAGGTGTAGTTGTTACATGTTGTTACAAAAACGCAAGAAAAAACAAGTTCCTCTATATGCTATCGATTTCTTTTCGCCCTAAAACCGTTGTCCATAGTAAATTTGACATAGTAAGTTGATAAACGCGAAGTGTGCCAAGCTTATTTGGCGGTGTTTCTAAGGTTACCAAAATCTACTCTCAAATTCAATTTTATGCATGCATGCATGTATAGCTAGCACTGAACTGTTCTTATGCGCTTATATAAAACTCAAAAGGGAAGTGGTCCTTAAATGGAAAAAATCAAAATTGTACAATGACCACTTGTGATAGGAGTATGTGTAAGTCATATTCTCCACGGTTTGCCCATGAAATGAAATTATGCTAATATTATATATACAAAGACGAGACACATCTACAACTGCGGTTTCAGCGAGTCAAACACACAAAGAAATGTGCTAAGCAACAAAGAGGGCGAGGAGTGTTTTTTGAAGTTAATTACGTGCAGTTATATTGAACATTAAACATATAGAAAACATATAAATTATATAGGAGGAACTATGATCTGCCTGACTGAAATACGGTGGTATATTTAAATCTTCAACAAAATTTCAGCAAAATATGTCCTTGAAGGCCCATTTATATGCGATTTTCCTCTTTTGATAGATCTGAATGCGTAATTAGTAACGAATTAATGTTCTGATGTATAAGAGCTCTTATTTGAACATTCGTAACTATAATTCACTCGTTCACATCTATCAAAAGACGAAAATCGCAGATAAAATAGCAGCAAAAATTGCAAGTGTAAACGAGCCTTTACGATTATTTTAGTACAAATTTGTTTATAATTGATATCGGATAATATTACATGAAAGTAGTTTGTTATCAAGGCAAACATCAAGGTTAATTTCCCATGAAATGAATCACCTTTTTACTGTAAT